GCAAATTTTAAATTTTATTATGCCCAGTAAATTTTACATAAAAAGGACAATTCGTTATTAAACAGTGTTCATTAATGAAATTGCATATACATCTTTCAGAAAGAATTGTTAAAATAACATGATTGTGACATTCAGCGCCTATAAATGTTAATCATCTATCAATAAAATGACTTTTTAATTATTCAGATTCGTTAATTAAAAAAATATGCTTCTTGAATAGGGTTGACTTAGGACTTATTTATGATATCTGATATCATAATCAATATTTACATTATCAAGCTTTCTTTACAACAAAATTTTGATTAAGCGTTGAACACATACGGAAAGAGGCAAGCTCCAGACAGCTCATTACTACGTTACAACTCCATATCATTATTCGTAGGAAATGAAGTCCCGCAGATTGGTACTGTGTTTAACAGCGGGGCGGGGGGGGGGGGGGTAAAAAAAAAACACGGCTGTGCATGTTGGATGCCAAAAAAGGGGTCAAACTTGATTTCATCCTTGCAAGAAATACATATTTAATTATCAACCTGATTTTTCTCGTAAAAATTGTTGTTTAGGCATAGAAGGCATGTGTCTATGCTTTTATGGTAATAAATATTTAATTTACGTTATATGTAGAATCTATATTGCCTTATAAAAATACTTTTACAATGCATGTTTTATTTTATTTTATTTTGTGTGTGTGTGTGTGTGTGTGTGAGGGTGTGTGTGTGTGTGTGTGTGAGTTTTTCGATAAAGCTTACACAAGCAGTAAAGTGTTTGAAAAAATTAACAGATAAAAAAATGGTGGAAGAGGGTTGGGTGGTTTCATAAAAATGTTCTCCGAGATAAAACAAAGCTTGACTTTTCAATTCAATCCTTTGTCAAGAACACTAATAATTCAATATATATATATATATATATATATATATATATATATATATATATATATATATATATATATATATATATATATATATATATATATATATATATTTGCGAGGATACATTTATTTTTGATTGTTACATGTATCTATGTGCGATATTTACGTTACATTTAACATACTCTTCGTAATTAGGTAATAACAGATAAAATATTTTACATTTTTATCTTTTAGATAATGTGCGTTTCTTTGACCTGATAAATACTGAATCAAATAATGAAGCTTTTTGGGAACATTTTTTTTCTTTACATCAGATTTGAAAATCTTGTTAAAATAAAAAGAAAATAATTTCCTTTAAATGAAAATTATGTCCGTTTTGTTTTTACTAATAACCGAATTCAAGAATCCACATCCCTTTTACAAATGTGCTTAAACTGTTTCATAAATGTTTGAAGTTAACAAGATTTGATGTGTGTTATCTAAATTATGTAATATTTCTTAATTTCTTTCGTTTCCAACAACATGAAAATATCTGGGTGTAAAATTAGCTCTCTAACCGCATTCATTTCAAAGGAGGTCAACAAAACACAGCATGAAGTATGTTAGTCAAATTATTTTAATAACTATACATTTTCATGTTTCAAATGATATAACAATGTTAGTTTCAATTCACAATTTTTTTGACTTTTCCAAGGACCGATTTGGCACTAAAAATTGAGAATGCGTGATACACTGTATGTCTGATTTGATTAACCAAACAATTTCGAACAGATATATCACATACTAAATCAGGCTCGCCTTTTCCCGGTAGGTGGAATATACAAGTCTCAACAATTACTTTAAGGTGTTCAATGTATAATAAAGGGATTTTGAACAATTTTGAATCATTTGAAACTAGTTAAAAATGCATTGCTAGATAACGATGAAAGTGAAATGAACTAAATTCACATGACTGATAACATACAAGTAACTGGTCATTTTGCACTTTAAAAGTTTTTGAAGAGTTATCTGCCCTTGAGGCAAAAAAAAGAAAATTTTAATTTCGTCAAAATTTCTGTGGTAAATGATTAATTTTATTTCATATTTTAATAAAGAGAGGGTATATGCATACTTTCACCAAGAGCTTTTTATGAAATTCAAATTACTTTTTACAATATCTTATAAAACATGCATTGTCCATAGACTTCAATGTAAAATTCAAGGTGCAATTTATTTGACAATAATCAATTTTTTTCAAATTTCTTTGGTGGAGTATTTTTTTTATAACACCTTCAAAGTGATACCATAACTACAAATATAGGATGTTCATTTATTAGATACAAAATATGGTCGTTATACATTTGAATACCTTAATAAAGGTTGCATTGAATTAAATTATTGGTGGCTTACCTTTGGGTTAGATTCCTTGCTCTTTCTATCTTGATGCAATACGACAAACCCTTTCCCGTGTCTGTTCTCCTCAGAGAAACCGTGGATGTTTTCAGTTTCTTTCAATAATTATAAAAACAGTCGGAAAGGTGGCATTTAGATTCGAAAAATTCTTGCTTAAAAGGAGAAATAGGGATATCTAATCAAATAACTAGCTTACTATTCAAATGGTATATTATCAAAAATACAGATTTTCTTTCTTTATATATGTTTTTCTCTGAAGTATAATAAAGACTAAGGTCGCTCATCTGGGCTAAATTGATAAAAAAAAATCATTCAGCTTAATAGATTTACAGAGAATCAAACTCAACATACAGCATGATCCTAGACATATTCATTATCATCCAACAATACATCTTGTAGATTACAGTTTATATTAATATCATATAATGGATTTCCTTACTAATGTTTTATACAAATACTAATATGCTTGGTATATTATACAAAAAGCTTTGTGATCAGAAAATATGATCAGAAATGAAATGTTTATCAGAGAAGAGGATCTTGAATCCTAATATCGGTATATCATTCACTTGTTTGAGTTTATTTGATGTTAATCACCGACCACACAAGACCTGACCTTTTTGTACATGTGCCATGAGTGCAATAATCAGAAATGAAACTTCTGAAGAGAGGCGTTGACATGAACATTTATTTTGATTAGTATACCCGCACTTTCTTAAGAAAGTTCGGGTATATTGGCAGGCCCGTAGGAAGCAATTCCAGTTGGGGGGGGGGGGGGGGGGGGCACAGCCATACATTTTCAGTTGAGGGGGCACTATAAACTACCAAAAATTCCTTGACAAGCAAAATAAATATATAAATAAATGAAAATTTAAAAAAAAAAGGTCATCAGACGTTTTTATTGAGGGGGGCACAAGCATATAGTAGCTATGTTTTCTATAGTAAAATATATATCGGCAAAATTATTGGGGGGGGGGGGGAGCGGGCACGCCCCCCCCCCCGGTTCCTACGGCCATGATTGTTATCTAGTCCGTCCGCCTGTCACACTTTCTACTTCCTCAAACTTCTCTTACAATATAATTTAAGCAGTTACCAATTCGTCTTTATAAATATGATAGTTGGTATCTTGTAGATGTGCAATAAATTTTCAGAGTATTCATTTTCACCCGAGGGGCAAAATGGGATCGAGTCGGAAAAACGTTTTTCTTCACAAACCTGGTTCCCAAAACTAATCTTACATTTTACGCACTAGCCAAATCATCTTTTCTCAAGATGATTTGTGGTGTCCTGTAAATGTGCAATAAGGTTTCAGAATTTTCATTTTCACCCTACAGATCAAATAGGGTCGAAAAAATGACATTTTTACAGAAAGCTGGTTCCCACTTCTCATACTTTTAATCCATGTAGCCAAATCATCTTTTGGAAAATAACTGGTGATGTCCTGTAGATGCACGTTCAATAAGGTTTCGGTATTCGAAGAACGATGTAATTATTTTACAAAATCCTGATTCCAAGAACTCTTACATTTTACACAGTAGCCATCTCATTTTTGCAAGAAGATTGGATCCAGCAGATGTGCAATAAGGTTCTTTTTTTCATTTTTATCCCAGGGGTCAAATGAGGTCGAAACACGTTTTCAAAAACTTGGTCCCCAGAACTCTCACATTTTACAGTGGCCATCTCGTCTTATTTTCAAGATGATTGGGGATGTCCTGTGGATGTGCAATAAGGTTTCAGAATTCATTTTCACCCTGGGGGCCAAATGGTCGAAAAAAGTTTTTCATTTTACACAAACCTGGTTCTCAAAACACCCTTGGGGCGACTGGGTGTCAAATAGCGTCCTTAATCGTCAAAAACCTGGTTCCCCGAACTTCAATTACAGTAGCTATTCATATTTTGGAATATGAAAGGGAGTATCCTGTAGATGTACCATAAGGTTTAGCTTTAAATTTCAATTTTCACCCGGGGGACGACAGGGGATCAAAAAATGTTTTTCTGCAAAAACCTGGTTCCCTAAACTAAGGTTTCAGAATTTTTTACAAAAACCTGGTACCCCGAACTCCTCTTACATTGTTCAAAATAGCCCAATCATATTATAAAAGAAGTCTGGGTGTGTCCTGCAGATGTGGATTTAGATTTTCATCATGGAGGCAATGGAGGGTCGAAAACCTACTTTTTTTGTAAATTACAAGTTGTAAGTTACTGTGGCTTCTTTCCCTCTTACCCAATTATGAAGGCAAGTACATTTAGAGGCAAACACCTAAGTGCAGGTATAACTGTCTTATGACAGCAATCTTGTTTGACATTTATTAGAAAAAAAAATCAGAGAGATTTCTATAGGGTGCTAAAAATTATATGCACCTGCCATCTATACTTAATGTGCCTAATTCACAGATGTAAATTTAACACTCTAAATTTGAAAACTAAACAGAGTTTCAGTATTTGGAAAACTTAAACATAGAAAAATCATTTTAATAAATAGCTGAAAAATCTCTTTTGTTGCAAGCATTTCAAGGTGGTCAGTAAGCAAGCGCAAACAAACAATAGTTTAGGTCTAATAACTCAATGCTCCAACAACCGAAACATTGAACCAGATTTCTTTCAATGGTGTTGATCCTGTATATGTACCCCTTAATAAAAAGGTAAAATAAGACTATTATTATTATTTTTTTTATTAGAAGTTTCTAATTACTTCAAATATCAAATGAACAAAATAAATTATAATAATATACAATCCTTGTATATTAAATACTGAACCATTAATGAATATTCTAATTATTGATAAGAGAAAAAAATGTTGCAATCCCATCATATAAGTATGGATGCTTCATGGATAACAGTTTCATTATGCTTCTTTTTATACAATGTTCAATCCTTGCTTGAAATACAATGTATAAAAATTCAGAAAACTTAATTTAAAAGTAAGCAGGATAACTTATATATTTATTCTGAATGGTTATCAGTACTCTTAAAAACAATTACCTCTTGTTTTATAGTTTAAAAAAAAGTTCCATGTAAAATCTTTCAATAAAACAAATAATTGGATATCACTAATGACAATAGCTGATGACCAGATTTCATGATCACATCTCCTTGTGAAATGATTTTTCTTGGCAAGTATGTATTTACAATATACTCTTTTTTAATCAGCACTCTAACAATGCTCATGTATGCTCATAGGAATCGGAACAGACACCTATGGTTTGCTGTTCTTCACCAACATATGTACTGGAATTTGCCTACTGCTCTCTGACAAGACTGGAGAGCTTCAGTTTATACTCTGCACACACCTCGACATTCTTCTGGTGAGCCACATGCTCCTCCTGGTTTGCCTCTCGGATAGATACACATTTGATCAAATTTTGGTGGCTGTCATAGGACCCAACAATTCTGTCAAATAAAAGATTATCATCATAAATAATATTCAGCTTATCATTTTGATGAATACATACATGTAAAATAAAAACCTGATACTTTTCAAAATTTCTCCTTCCAAAATAATCAATATTCCTTTAACTGATTCCTTACTGATATATGGGTTATTAGATTCAGGCATTGAAAACATTATTTTTTGATACAATAACTCTAAATAATGCGGCTAGGACATTACAGGTGATTTGTGATGTAAAATATATGTGTATCAAAGATATTCTCATTATAGTTGATGAAATACAAAACATATCACTGTACTTTCAATCAGGTTTATAACATTACTTTCATTCAGTAACTGCTATATTAAGCTTAAAGAAAATTAGATGAGTTTAATATTTTGTCACTTAAAAATTCAATTCATTTTTGCATGGTTAAGGTATACTTTAAAAGAATCAATCATTTTTGAAAATATATATATATAAAGGTATTTGACTGTTCATCATTTTCAAAACTAGAGATACATGTACTGTGAGCACAGAGCTCACAAAATGATACCCTCTGCTCCCATACGAATCCATTTTTTTGCTATGAGAAAATCTAAATGTCTGTCTGATCAATACATAAAGTAGCAGGTGCAGAATGGCACTATATAATAAAGAATCTGTGAAAGTACACGTATCTTTAAATTTTATTCTGTGGTATAGAAGGAGTTATGGATAAGAAATGGGGACCCCTGATATTATAGAAAGAATGGCAGTATCTATGTACTGCCTTATGGGAAAACTGAAATAAGTATTAGATCATAAAGTAAAGTAAGAGGTAAACAATGGCATTGTGTAATAAAAATTCTCTGAAAGTATAATTCAATTTTACTCAATGGTATAGGAGGAGTTGCAGATTAGAGATGAGTAACCCCCCCCCCCCCCCCCCACCCTTCATATAGAGAATGGCAGTGTCCATGTTTTGCTATGGGAAAGAAATAATATGCATCTGATCGAGAGATAAAATAAGAGGTGCACAACAGCACAGTGTAATTGAGTCTGTGAAAGTATCATTAAATTTTATTCAGTGATATAGGAGGAATTCAGGATAAGAGATGGGTACCCCCAATATTACAGAAAGAATGCCAGGGTCTGTTTTGCTATGGGAAACCCAAAATATAAGTCTGATCAAAATGTAAAATAAGAGGTGCACAATGGCATCATGTATTAATAAAGACTCTGTGAAAGTATCATTAAATTTTATTCGCTGACAAATGTATAAAAGGAGCTGGGGATAAGAGATAGGAATCCAAAGCATCACAGACGGACAGACATCCCCTTCACTATATATCCCCCGCTTTTCAAGTGGGGGGTATAATAATTCATTAAATATCCATTACTGTATCAATACATATATGGTGAAACCTAGAAATAAAGTACTAAAATATTGCCATAGCCCAATTATATTTAGAGGCTAGATTAGTCCAAAGGAGATTTACATTCATTTTGAGAAACAACTCTGTTGTAAAAATTCATCACAATAACATTTTTATTTTGTTGTTGCTTGCCAAAAAAGTTTAAGTCTATAATTTTTGTTAAGTGGGTGTGGATGACTCCCCAGACACCCCCACCCCCCTTTCAACCTTGAAATAAAAAAAAAATTCCTTGATCTGCACATGACATGTTTAAAGTACCTGTATATTTTTCCTCCGGTAAGCTTTGGTAAAGAGTGGTCCTACAAAGTGAACAATCAAATTTTTTCATAATTATGAACTTAAACATCCTTACTTTGATGGCGATTTGTAATACTTTCCAGAGAAAATATAAATTAATTATATAATTACGATGGTACAGGAGTTCAAGTTAATGTTGCATAAAAATTATAGATCCTGTATCAAGAAAAATTCTATATTGTTAAGTAAAACTGATCTTGCGCAAATCAAGCTCATCATTTGGATTGCTTGTTATACATGATGCAATTAAAACCTTACAATTTCATAGAAGATACAGTCCATAGATGTATTATACTCCTTGACTGAAAATCTTTTAGCATCAACCTCTGGTACTTTAACAGTTGCAGAATTCACTTGGGCTTGAAAAAAAAATTTTAAAAATTTAAAATTTAAAAAAATTAATTATCAAGACAAAACAATTTCTTTAATCTTATAATGATATTTCAAGTTCAGAAAAAGAATACATTTTTTAATCATTCAAATCAATACGCAAGTTTCGAGATTATCTCCCTTGGTGCACTCTTTCGTTATGGAGGGGAGTTTTGTGCCGGCGTAAGCAAGCAGGTGGGACAGTTATTTATATGCGTGATACATTACATCATCGATATACCATCGTAACTGATTATCGGGATGCACTCTTCAACTCGAAAATTACCGAATTAAAGTAAATGTGTTAATTTTTTCTATGAACAAATTAAAAATAAAATAGAATTTAAAAATTGGAACAAAAGAAAATATCAGCGGATAAGAACTTATCAAACAACGGAAGATATATGGGTCTCTTATAAATACACATGCATCTGATCATTGTACATCGGCATTCTGAAAGACTCTTTTCCTTATAATAACTTCAAAGAGCCCAATAACTTTTTAGAAAAGGTTTGTACAAGTCAATCAAAGAATTATTTTTCTTACAAAGATATGACGGTTCTTTCTTTTTCTAGTATCCTAAATGAAAGTAAATTTTGTAAATATGCATAGTAGTGCTTTATAAATCCTTCAAAATGCTCATTGCTTAGCATTATCATCTTTCTTAATAACATTAAATGAATTTTAAAAGCCATACCCATCATTCATTTATTTGAGCACGTTTGTATACATTAACAACCTGTCCCACTTTCATGCTGATATGGATACTTTTTGCGCCTCTATCGTAGGAGAGTTACAATCTCGAAATTTGCGTATTAAAGTCAATCATTTTAATCTTTTGAATCAGTCAATCTCTGAAAATTTAATGTACCACATACTTTTTCTGCAAGTTATTAGAAAATCACTTATTTCCAACGATTTTGCATGAGCATCATGGAAGACACATAATTTGTCGAAAGCGCATCTGGTGCATCAAAATTGGTACCGTATATTGTTTACATTATGACCCCTGGGTCGAGGCCTCTGCTGGTGGACTATTAGTCCCCAAGGGTCTCTACTGCCCAGTAACTATGAGTACTCCGGTACTAACTTGAAAATATGGATATATATTTAATTGCTGTGGTAAAATTTAGAAATTTATTTCAAAATTAAGGATTATCTCTCTCATGCATAGCTCTGATCCTTCAACGTATTTGGTTCCAGTCTTGCCCCCCCCCCCCCCTTTCAGCTCTTCAAAGCTTTTTTATTTAAATATTTTGGATTTCCAATGTTTTAGATATGCAACACTGAATAGACACAGTTTGTCGAAATGCGCATCTGGTGCATTAAAATTGGTACCGTAAATTATTTACATTATTATTCATAAAATGAAAAATGTATGCACAAAAAAAATTCATCAACCTTGAGCAAAGTAAATATTAATACCAAATATCTCAAACAGAAAAGTAAACATCCCTCTGAGGTGCTCCCAGTTCTGTATTCCAGCTAGATCTGTAGTAATGACTCTTAGTGACCTGTCCAATGCTGGCTTCTGGTCTGGTTTTGTCTTCAATTATACAAGACAAGAGCATCATCATTTTCATCACACGACAACACTTTGTCCATAAGATGTCAATTCTAAAACTTTCAGAGGTCAAGTACGGTAAATCTCCAGTGAGAAGAATATACTGAACTTTGCCATCAAAAATAAAAGCAGCACAGTGCTATATGCATCAGACCATCATTAAAACAAATTCAACAAAATACTTTTGCATTTTTTTTCCACAAACAACAAATCAGGCTTGCAAAAAATACATCAAATTAATTAAACCATTTAATCTTCCATAAAAAAAATCCAGAACTTTTAACTTATATTTAATTCATTATCGTCAGCATTCAAGATACATGTATCATATTTTTTGAAGCTTGTTGAAACTATTGAGATTTAGAATGTATAACGAATATTTTGTACCTCAGCTGTGTTTGGGGCTTTTGTACTTTGAGTTCTTTCAATCCCCTGCTGCTGCGTTGTCCACACATTCTTATGCCAGGAGTCACCGCTTACACTGTGCAAAGGTACTCCATCTCCAGTGGCATCAGGAATCTGCAAATTCAAAATAAATAAAGGTATTCTGAATGCACTTTATCCTAAATGTACTGTTGCAAGTATACTTTCTCAAACTCTGCAAGAGAAAGCTCTTTGTATTTCTGCAAAACACTGAAAATTTTAATTCAGTACCTGAAATGAGGAAGCAATTGGTGCATATCTCCTATCCACATTACATGCACTACCACTCATGTCAACAGCAGGTTGCATTTGACCATCTCTACCCCACTGATTCCCAGACTGTCTTTGACCAACAATTTTTGACTGACTCCAACTTTGGTTTCCACTAAGAAAACCTGTTTCTGCTGAACCTGCTCTATTCCTAAAGTCAAAGTTACCACTACACCTATTCCACTGGCTGTTCCCATCATTCAGCTGTTTGCTACCACTATTCCACTGGTTGCTACCACTACTCCTCTGTTTGCTACCACTATTCCTCTGGCTGTTTAACTGGTTGCTCCCACTATTCCACTGGTTGCTTCTATTGTTCCATTGGTTGCTACTGCTGCTCCCCTGGTTGCTTCCACTATTCCACTGTTTGCTTTTCTCCCATTGATTCTGACTCTGTTTCTGGTATGAACTGCTGCTTGTAGCATTTGGATGCATATTATTCTGTGTATCACTGATGCCTCTACCATGCCCTTTACTGTTACTGGCATTTTGCCTGTACCCTCCTCTGTTATCAGTGCCCTGTCCCCTGTACCCCACTCTGTTATCAGGACCCTGTCCCCCTCCTGGGGGTCTGTTATGCTGGCTATTTCCTGCCCCTGCTGATCTTTGACTTGCTGTGTATTTAGCTGTTTTTGGGTTGGGAGGGTTAGGTGGTATCAAATCCATGTTTGATCTCTGTGAATTTCTTGTCTGACTGTAGGAATTCTGATTGAAGTTTCTTTCTCTTCCTCTGTTCATTTGGGTTGAACTATGCTGATATTGAAACCTAAATAATCCACATTAATGTTAACATTTTATTATAGAAAACTTAAAGTTCTGAGTCATACCTTATCAAAATCATTTTAATATTTAAACTAAAGGTGAAAATTTCAAGAGTTAATTAATTTTAGAGTGCGTTAATATCAAATCAAAACATTTCTCTGTTTCGTTACAGTTAGTAAAATTTTGTGACAGATGAGAAAAGTTGCACAATAAATATCATAATATGTGGAAAAATTCTGACTAAATTATAAAGTCGTTGTTCATGCAGCTTGAGCATGTTGGGAGATGGTTATAATTGTGACATACTGTTGAAGCACAAATTTTCGTGGGGATAAAATTTCATTGATTTGTCATTTAAAAAGGTTTAGTGAGGATTTAATTTCGTTGTTTCGAAAGTAATCCTATTCAATATATAGTCATATAAAATTTCGTGTGGGTTTTAATTTCGTTTATAATTGTTAACAACCAAATTAATGAAATTTACTCCCCAATGAATATTTCTGCTTTAACAGTACATATGTGGTGATCTTCGTTAGTCACTCTCAGAACTGTGATTATATAGTCAAAATCATTGTAATTTATCACAGCAAACCAAAAATATTTTCTTTACAAATTTTGTTGTAATAAAACCTTTTTATAATTTCAAATTCATCATGACTTGTACCTTGAATTATTCTTCATCCCTTCACTCTGAGAAGACTGGCACTGAAAGTTTTGTTCATTTTCCCATGTTTTATTTTTCTGGTAGGAATATGGTGCCATTTGATTGTTATGATCATAGCCGATATTTTGAGGTGCATCAATATGTGAATCACCTAGAAAAGAGATAATAAATATTTTATGAAATTTTATAGTTTAACAATAAGAAAAAATTTCTGCTGATTATGTCTAATGATAATGTTTGCTTATTAAGCTAGGTAATTTTTAAATAAATTTATATTTTTAAATAAGAAATAGTGCATTATATAATCTTAATATTATTGAAAGAATAAAAAAAATTGCAAAGGCCAAACAAAAAAATATGTGTGGTTCCGGTTACACCTCCAAAAAAATTAGGGTAGGTATGTAGGGATTTTTTTTTTTTTTTTCAATTTTTAACAAAATGATTTTCTTAATTTTTCTAAATAATACTTATCATTACTTTGCAAATGACATTTAGATGTGGTGTGATAATATACTAGTCAATATTGGTAGGGGACACCTACATGCTAGCTTGCTTTGGATTTAACACTAATAAACACTTGCACTATGTTTTGCAAGGGGGCCGTCATTGCTGAAACTAAATCTTAAACCGGAGCCATTGATGGAAATTGGGGAAAATTCCGGAAAAAATATGAAAATTGCCAAAAAAAAGTTTAGGGTTGGGGGTATAAAATAGGGACGGTCGGGTAACCGGAACCACACATATTTTTTTATTTGGCCAAATAGTAATATATTGTTAATATTCTAATGCAAATACAATGTATGTTACAAATTCTTTTTTGTACTTATATTAATTACATGCTATATCTCTTATAAGCATTTATCTATAGATAATCCCCAATATGCCATAATCTTTTTTATTTAGTTGATTTTTCTTTTTTGGTCGATATGTTGCTGCTATCATGCTATCAATTAAGACTTTATTCTTAATACTCTTTGCTTGTATGCTCTCAAGGGCCCAATATTGCAATTTAGCGGGTTTCTTTAGCAAGTGTAAAATTTGGCGTTGTGCTGGCTTAAAGGAATGCCAATAATTTTGGGGAACTTCTCTTGGCAGACACAGAGTTTATGATGTTGCAAAGGAGAGGAAATTCATCTTTTAGTTGGGTTTCATGATATACATTTAAATATCAATTTATGCAAGAGTTTGAGTAAATAACAATACCACAGAAAGATGTTTAACAGCAGACTGATTGAAGATATTTTTCTTGTATTCAGTACTTATTAGCAAGGTAGCTGCAGAACTGTAGCATTATGTTTTTATCTATGTATTTTAGTCTTTGACCATAATGCTACAGATCCCATAATGCAAATATTGTGCAATTTACTGCGCAAGATTTTCTGCACACTTTGGGGATGTATTTCACCATTTTCCAGCATTGGTCAATCAACGACCATCCATTCTCTAATTCTAGACATACTCTATAACCATGATAACCAACCTGTGTATTTTAATTATCCACCTCCTAACCCTTTATAGTACATGTGTAGTCTCCTCAGACCAATAAACTCGCTTGTTGTGAATTTGTTGTCGGATGGCATAAAATTTACAACAAGCAAGTTTATAAATGGTCTGTAGAGACGACTATAAAGGGTTAGGATGTGGATAAAATATACAGGTTGGTTATAGAATATGTCTAGAATATAGGGAATGAATGGTCGTTGATTGACTTAAATGCTGGAAAGTGGCGAAATACATCCCCAAAGTGCGCAGAAAATCTTGCACCTTAAATTGCACAATATTTGCAGTATGCCTACGGGATCTGTAGCATTATGGTTATGGTCAAAGACTAAAATATAAAATCATAACGCTACAGTTCTGCAGCTAATTAGCAAAGGTGCAAATTTTATTTAGCGATTAAATTTTATCGGCCAACTACAAAACTGCAAAATTAAGCTAAAATTAGCACCCGCTAAAAATTCCCGCTATGCAGTAATATACAGTATTGGTTTCATTAAATTTTACCTGTACTCGGCCTACAATGGTCAGAATGGACAAAGTCGGATGGAGATGTGTAATTTTCACCCTCCTCAGCAATGATTGCTTCTCGTGTTCTTTTCTTGCAGTTAAAAATTGGCACTAACGGTGTATTCTTTCTATTCATCTGGAAAAAAAATCCAAGTAAGACAGTTTCAATTTCATCAGCATGCAACTTTGACAGTTCACGCGAGTATGAATGCTAGCAGACGACTAATGCTACATCTAAGATACTTGCTTTTGTGTAAATGTTCGTTTATATATCGTTATAAATACACCTATTAAAATCCTTCACAAAAATTATTTCTCAGTCTAAATTAAATACTCACATTTGTTGTAATCCGTGTGCTCTCTGCAAAGTGTATTTGCGCGGCTGTCACTGGAGAGTACTTATCAAAGATAGATAACTCAATTCTTTTTGCGTTTTTGTTTTAGAGTTATCGTTCTTACTATATATAATTTGACACAAAAATGAGCTAATCATAGTATCGACTGTAAACTATAGTTAACGGACCGTAAACTACAGTTAACGATGATAATCTATATTTCACATCTGTAAACTATAGTTTACACGATAATCTATGTTTCACAAGCGTAAACTATAATTAACACGGAAAACAAACATTTGCTACTGCAAAATATAGTTTATCTGATAAATATAGTTTTACGATTTGTAAACTATGATTTACAACTCTAAACTATACTTAACAAATGTAAATTATAGTTTAGGGTTTGTAAAGTATACTTTACAGACATACAAAGCGCCAAATTCACAAAAATGCGATAAACATAATTTTACATTTGAGAAACACAGTTCAGGAACAGAATCTCTTATTTTGTAACGGAGATACACAATTTTCTGTGAAACTAGATTTCACGACTCTAAACCATAGTTTACGATCAAAACTATAGTTAACAATAGTTTTTTTTTTTTTTTGTAAATTATACATCAGCTAAACCTTGTTACTGCATTATAAGATTTTGCTATGTTACGACAATTGTTGTTAAATATATATGCATGTATATTTCTTGCTGGCATTAAAAGTAAATGTTCTATTATTTTAAAGCAAATCTAGTTGGAAATAAAAAGAAAAATGACAGGAAAATTATTGATTAAAATTTTATTTTTTTTAATTTAAAAGAGAAAAAATAGAGAGAAATGCATGTTAACGGTCTGTAACCAAATTTGTCTTCAGCAACGGAAGAAATCGCTGATATCTATCCTTGCCGTCTTTCCAACCTTCTGTGCTGATGAAACAATAATTAATGAACAAGAAACATATTGACGCAAGCGTCAAAAATCGGCCGCAAATCGGCCAATTGTTCCTTTTATGAGGCAACAAATTGAAATGCGTGATCTGTTATTAATAAAATGCATGTATGTATATCATATATTAATCTGTAAATATAGACATATCACAGTGCATATGTAACATTGCAGGCGCGGAATTTGTTTTTCAACAACCGAATTTTCTTCATACATAAATAAAAGTGGCCTTTTACGGAACATTTACTTTAGTAAAACACAACAAATATTTGAGACTTCTCTCTCTCTCTCTCTCTCTCTCTCTCTCTCTCAGATTCAAAAAAGGACGTTGAAACCCCCACAACCCCATCTAGATCCGCCACTGCATATCCTCTCTTTCAGTTTCTTTTGCATGGTGATAAGATGTGGCGGGAAAATGCTTGGCACATTGTAAAACGCGCTTCACCCTCCTCTGCTTGATCAAAAATCTCGTAATATTCTGTCTTTTAAGAAATCAAAATTTTATCATATTTTTAAAAATTTCCCATAGGAAATGTATATATACACGACATTTTAAAACAAATACAATTAATCCTGTTTGAATAGAGAAAGTAATATTGATTATATATAACTCGGTCTTTGCTTTAGATAATGCCCAACACGTGTCCTTAATCTCTGCACTTTCTCGCGATTGGTGCCGCGAAATTTTGAATTAAAAACTATCGTTAACAAGTGTTTAGATTCATAAACTATATTTAACAACTCTTAACTATAGTTTACGAGTGTGAATTATAGTTTATGACGATAAACTATGATTGGCAAATGTGAATCATAGTTTAGCTCTCAAAACTATAGTTTACGATCGATAAGTATAGTTTACGTCTGTTAAATATAGTTTGTGAGTATAAATGACAGTTAACTATAGTTTACGACCGAAAACTATAGTAAACGAATGTAAAACATATTTTATCTGATAAATATAGTTTCACGATTTGTAAAACTTTGATTAACAACTCTTAACTATGGTTAACGAAAGCAAATTATAGTTTACATATGAGAATGTATATTTATCAGCAAAATCTATTGTTAACGTTTATTTACAGACAGATAAACATAGATTAGCATTCGTAAACTACACTATACAACCGTTAAATATAGTTTTACAAATGCAAACTACAGTTAACGAATCGTTAACTATAGTTTACAGTTCGTAAACTATAGTTTACGATCGATAAACCTAGTTTATCAACTGTTAAACTATGTTTATCTAATTTTTGTGAATTTGGCGTGCCATACAAAACGTACCTGGAAAAAAGTTTGTTTTCCAAAGGATCTTCAAAAATATAAAATTGTATATAAGTTTGTGAATTTACTTAATAAATTAACTGATGAAAAAGAATTCCAGGCATATTTAATGCATAAACAGGAATCCAGAATAAATAGTTTAACATTCAGATCAAATAGTTTTAAGAAATATTCATCCAAAGGATACATTTGTTAATTAATGCAATGTGGGGGTTTCATTCACACATGTTGTATTTGTTTTTCAAATTTTGTTGCAACAATCTGTACTCACTGAGGTTCGACGGCTGGTGTGTGCGTGTGTGTGTCGTTGTGAGGAGGGGGTATGCATTTTTTCAGGGGGGGGGAGGGGGGTCGTTTCGTTTTTACTATCAGCTATCATTTTATTTTTGAGAGATAAAATCCTACAGTCGTAACTCAGTTTTGGCATGCATGCCGTGCTTGTGCCAAAGAATCATATTTTGAGTAAACCTTACTTAACAAAAAAAAAAGAAAAAAAAAAGGAATTCCATATATGATATGTATGGAATTCCAGGCGCGTAGCTGCCTATACGCAAGTACGCAACTGCGTACACATCATTTCAAAAACAAAAAAAAAAACAACAAAAAAAAAAAAAAAAAAAAAAAAAACATGAGAGAGAGAGAGGGGGGAAGGTATCGCAATACAATCCGCGAATATTTCCGTTTCATTTTTTTTTTTTTTGGGGGGGGGGGGGGTCATATTATTTCGAATAAAAGTTTGCGATAGCATGTCTTTACAATCAAATGTGAAATCTATTATCAAATTATTACCAAATACAAATAAATTTTCTATTAGTGTGTAAGTATTCTATAACCTATTGACAATTTTTTAAGATACTTGAGAAATTACATTTTAATCATATCGTTGAATTAATCAAATAGTTTATAATTTAAAATACAAAAGTTTTTTAACTAACATTTATTAAACTTGTTTCCGGACATTATGCTATAAAAAGTGCAGACGATACCAATATATTAGTAAAATATCCAGCCTCAAGTACTCGTAAAATAAATTTCCATGGAAGATAAACTTTGTGTTAAAAACAATATTACTAAAGTTTTTATTTCTAAAGAAAAGCGATACAGCATATTTCCCGCTAGAAAGTGATTGAAATATATTTAGAAAAACCCTGGAGTTAGCTTCCGGGGGCTCCGCCCCCTGGGCCCCCATCAGGGTTACACCCCGGACCTACTGGGAGCCTCAGGGCGGCCCGCATTTCCCCTGCCGTTCCCTGCATGCGTACATTTCAGCTCCATCCTGGCTACGCGCCTGAATTCCATATACGACAGCCAACTGCTTACTGCCAACTGCTCACTGCTTACTGCCAACTGCCACTGCTCATAGATGATATTGCCTGTTTTGTTATTTTTAACACGCATGCTTAATTGAATAAACCCTATGCTAGATACTAATAATATTAATGTTCATCTATACTCTGATAAGAGAGTTAACTTTTAATGACATAAATGTCTATTATTTCTTTATAATCTTGTCAGGTTGAAGTGTCGTTTTTGTCCAATTTTGCCCCGCAAGCTATGCTATTATTGTTTGTATTTTACTTATATATATATATATATATATATATATATATATATATATATATATATATGCAATATCAGGGACCTACATGTATATACTAACACTGACTAATATAATATATAGGTTCCCACTGGCGGATTTAAGGGGGGGGGGCGTGGGGGGCACACGCCCCCCCCCCCCTAAAATTTTCAAAGTATGACATGACTAATATTCATAATGCCAAACTTTGTTTTTATAATTAATGGTAATTTATTTAATGACCAAGTATCGGTTTTCTTAAAAATCAAGTCTGAAACCTTGCTTTCCCTAGGCTATGAATATTATCTCAATTATTCAAACCGGAATACGTCTCCCGATTTCGTTTGAAGGGTAAACTGCACTTGTCAATTTCCTATCATGATGCAAGGAAAAATACTGCAATATTTAAAGGCTGGTCGAAGGTAAATAAATGAATTTAAAATCAGACGGTCTACGTTACAAACCCTTCCACTGATTGATGTATTTATTTATCAAATGGTGTAACTATGCAGTAATTTACTTACATAGATACAAGACTTTTTTCATTACACACATCTCATAATCTTTCCATATAAATGGAATTTAACGTCAGGATATAGGTAAGGATGGTGTAACTTCGACCACCTGGTTAATTTCGACCGTTCATAAATACCTTAAAATAATTTGTTCCATTATAGTATACACACATCTATTTTATGCAGAAAGAAAATGCTTTTTTCATATACAAATCAATGTCGATTATAATTTGCGAAATTTATTTCTTCACTGGAAAATTACATCCAAGAAGAAACTTTATCGCCCGAAAAATTACGGACGAGTATTTTTAAACCATTGCGGGGAATTATCAGTTTATCACCTCTGAAAATATCTTGTATATATAGAAAGACACAGTGGATATTCCTGGCGTGAAATTTATCAGCTATGATTAATTTTGCAACTTAAATTCATACCTTTTTAATTTATAGTATTTAGTTTTTACAAATAAAATGCAAATCAGCTGAACAGAAATCGGCCGAAGTTACCCATGCATGAATAGGGCGTCAGCGGGTAACTCAGTTCGACCAATGAAAATGACGCAATGCTATTTGTTACCAGAAAAAAATCATGATCACCGTCCGTATAAAAAATTATTAGGATAAGTATTATGTACAAGAATACTTCGTAGAAACTAGTTCTAGAACAGTGAAAAAATCATCTGTTCTGTTTACATGTGATTTAGATGCCTGCGCATATATATAGATTTGTAGCATGCCTTGACAAATCGGTAAATCAGTCTCTAGGCACCTGGTGCACTTAATGTTTCAATTTAGGTACATTTTGAAAATTACTTCTTTTTTGTCAGCATTTTTTCACAATCTTTTATGTTTTACAAAAGAATAATTTAATTAAAATTAATTTATATTTTTGAATTAGAGATGACGCGAATAATTTCGTTTATATTTGCACATCGATCGAAAATACCCCGAAGTTACCCAACACACATATCTTGTAAATGTTTTTTGTTTTTGTTTTTGTTTTTGTATGTGTGTGTGTGTTTTAAAAAGTGAACATCCCAAGAAATCCCGTCCGATTTAGCTTTGAACTGAACTCAATACAAGTGCTATTAACGCTAATCGCCGATATTCCCGTAAGAGTGATTCGAGACAATTTATGGCAGAATCTTGGAGAGGTGGATCTAAGAAAAAAATTACTTTACTTTTACAAATATTTTCTTCGGATGTCGTTGATAATTATAGCATTTATTTCCTTTAATATGCTCGTTTATTTTGCTACCAGGTGTTCTTCTACTTTTTTGCATGTGTAAGGAGATGGGCGAACATAGCGTGCAGAAAGCCTATAGCTTCAGATATATAAAAATCATGTTCAGTTTGTGAATTTAGTATTTAGAGTAAAGTTCTCATTTTTGAAATTTATGAAATTATGATAAATAAAACTTTTCTGAGGAAAATTTTCTCGGCAAAATTTATTCTTTTATTTAAAAAATTAATGTGGTATTCGTGGGGTTCGAACCCTAGCAATAAAAATCCTGAGTATTATTTTCTTTCGAGACTAGCACGCTAACCACTAGACTACACAAGTCCTGATGAATAATGGCATTTAAATCACGTTTGTGATATGACCCTTGACTTAATGGACTTCAAGTATTTCTCGAAAAGATGCGAATATTATGTCATAAAAGTATATTTTTAAGGTATAGTGGGTCATTGCTCCATATTTTTGGTAACCAAAAAATGTTTATTTTTATGCAAACTTTGAGGATTAACTTTCAAAAAGGTGGAGCAAAGACCCACTCATATCGAAAAATAGTATTATAGTATGAGAAAATGACTCTTTTTGCCCGCTTTTGTGTGTGTCTAATATTTCACAGGCGAATAATTTCAATCTTTGAGGGATCTTTGCAAATTATAGAGATTTTACATAAAGTATATTTTAATGTTAGACGAAATATCAAGGAAAATTTTGATAAAATTGAAATTTAATTTTTCATCTTCATGTTTGTCACACTATAGGCTTATCGCTCGTCATGTTCACCCATCTCCTTTATTTCAGTTTTATTTAGAATTAATTAAATTAATCTTGAAATTTAGCGATTTCTTTTTTCTTATAGCCTTAAAATATTTTTAAATCTAAGGAGAGTCCATAGTGTACAAGTCCATAGTGTACACCGCGAGTTACCCCATACCCTGCATATTTAACTTACCCCTTGAGAAGAAGGTAAACATGGCCTTTTTACACCCTTCTTACTACGCATTCAGAGGCAACATTTCTCAATATTTGAAATTTTAATTCTTTTCCCCAGAGACTCTCCTTCCCATCTATGCCCTAAAATCAGCCCATTCCCCCCGTATACATCTGAAGACAGGCGCGTAGCCAGGATGGAGCTGAAATGTACGCATGCAGGGAACGGCAGGGGAAATGCGGGCCGCCCTGAGGCTCCCAGTAGGTCCGGGGTGTAACCCTGATGGGGGCCCAGGGGGCGGAGCCCCCGGAAGCTAACTCCAGGGTTTTTCTAAATATATTTCAATCACTTTCTAGCGGGAAATATGCTGTATCGCTTTTCTTTAGAAATAAAAACTTTAGTAATATTGTTTTTAACACAAAGTTTATCTTCCATGGAAATTTATTTTACGAGTACTTGAGGCTGGATATTTTACTAATATATTGGTATCGTCTGCACTTTTTATAGCATAATGTCCGGAAACAAGTTTAATAAATGTTAGTTAAAAAACTTTTGTATTTTAAATTATAAACTATTTGATTAATTCAACGATATGATTAAAATGTAATTTCTCAAGTATCTTAAAAAATTGTCAATAGGTTATAGAATACTTACACACTAATAGAAAATTTATTTGTATTTGGTAATAATTTGATAATAGATTTCACATTTGATTGTAAAGACATGCTATCGCAAACTTTTATTCGAAATAATATGACCCCCCCCCAAAAAAAAATAATGAAACGGAAATATTCGCGGATTGTATTGCGATACCTTCCCCCCTCTCTCTCTCTCTCATGTTTTTTTTTTTTTTTTTGTTTTTTTGTTTTTTTTTTGTTTTTGAAATGATGTGTACGCAGTTGCGTACTTGCGTATAGGCAGCTACGCGCCTGGAAGACATATTTATGAAAAAAACCTGTGTTTTTATATGGTACTACTATAAGGGTTACAAATTCAATTATTTTAATTTCCTTTTTATTTTAATTTGTTTTTTGTTTACTCGTTTATTTTCGATAATTAAATGTTTCATTTTAAACTCGTTCTTCTTATTGAGCACGTAGGAAATTGAAATCACCCCCACCCCGCCCCCGCAATGAAAGGCCTTATATTGTTCTCTGAAAATAAAGTTTTAAAGCTTTAATTTTAAATCTGAAAAAAAATGTTGGATCCTTCCCTCAACAGTGCTGACATCATTTGTCTCGCATCACTCTCATGGGTAATATAAAGATAAGCGTTAATTGCGCTTTGACTAAATTTAGTCTAAAGCTACACCGGAGAAAATCAAGAGAATTTCTTACCATGAATATCATAGTGTACATAACTAATCAATACAACTATTTTTGTGCCTGGTTTTACTCTTAAAATTCACGAAAACCCAGGAGCTTTCGGGGGCTTCGCCCCCTGGGCCCCCACTGGGGGCCTTAAGGCGGCCCCCAGACCCCCTGCCTGAACGAAGTTATCCACGCCCCCCCTAATCACAAATCCTGTATCCGCCCATGTTTCCGGGAAAAATATTCAATATTTAATAAAAGTTATCCGATCATGATCGATTCACAACAAAGTACTGAGAAATTAAGCGAATTTATAATACTTGTGAAATCATCAAAAAACGCCTGAATCGGTATAACGTGGTTCAATTGTTATCTGTTTGTCCAACAAAGAGCGGTTTTCGGCGCATTTTCATTTGTTTTTCTTTCGTCTAGGAAGTCTACGTGACGGCTGAGCTGTGACGTCAGTGGATTTTCATTGGCGAAGTAGCAACACACCTACATCGAGGTGAAGGTCGTATCTCGACCACCGGTTTTGTGTTGAGCTGAAATGGCGTTCAGTGGAAGAATTTTAGTAAAATCGCTAAATTTAGGCGATTTACTAAGTGGAAAAGTGTCGACTAATATATGTAAGCGAATGTTTAGAAGACATATTAATCATAAGGTAGGTTTATTTTCAATTCTTTTCACTAAATTTGATTAAAAAACAGGTTTGAAGGACTCAAATTTACTTGACCTTAAAAACAGCTGATTTCCGGAATAATGCTATTTTAAAAATGCAAAAAGGTTTACCATTGTGTAAATAAGTAAAAATCAATTTGAAAATAGAAATCGAGAGTTCTAGAAATAAATCGTGATTTTAATACATCTTTTTCGACGTGCAAACAACATTTGTCTTTTAAAAATGAATTAAAAACGGTTATCGTGTGATTTGCGCCGCGACCTTCGGGCTTGAAAATTGATATAGTATTGAAAATATTAAAGTCTTTTAATAGAGAAACTAGTGAGGGTTGTTAAACTTTGATTACATTTTGTACATTACGCCTTGCTGGGGATTAAAATTGCATCATCACTAATGCATGTATAAAATATATTGCATCATCAACACTAGGGTATCTTCTTTTTACAAAAATAAATAGTGAAGGGGCCCCGCATAGATGGACATTTATTGGGTATGACATGACAAGTGCTACCTATGTTTAGAATTTTAAAAGATCAAGAATACTGGCATTCAGCATGTTAGGGTTTTCAACACTACCCACCCCTCCCGATGGCGACTTGTAACCATGCCAACTCAAAGCATTAATGTCAAGAGGGTAACCAAAGACAAAAGGCTCTGGTTCAGAGCTAACCCTTCCTCATAAAAGATAAACTAGTGTATTTATATACAGTTAATTTATCATTTTTTTTAATTTAAAAAGGGCAATAAAAATTTACATGTCTTTTAAGGGAGGGGTGAATTATATAGAAAGTAACTTTAATTATCTTCTTTTTGTTATATAGTATTATTCCTCTTTTTACATTTGAAATGCTGTCATATTCATCATGTTCATGTTTTTTTTGGGGGGGGGGGGAGGGGGGGTAATTAGGCTGAAATTACTTTTAAGCTGCAGGTTGCAGTGATGTTATCAGGACTTTTTGGGTGTTTTCGTATTCTTATTACTAGATCATTGAAACTGTGATTCATTGTTTGTACCAGGTGAACTTATCATCATAGTCGTGTTCAAGGAAATTTACATATTATATGACAGCTAGCTTGCATTTCAGAAAGTTAGACTTGCACTGTTTTCAAATATAAATATTATAATCCAGGCATCATATTTTATTATTGTACATGTATAATGTTATTGTACTAGGTTGGAGATTGCGGAATTGCTTCTGGGAATTTTATAGCTTTCAACCAATAATATCTTCCCTATTCATTAATTAGTTTTGCTTGTTAAATTTCTTAGATAAAGATATCAGCATGTGCCTATTATTGAACTCAAGAGCAGAATAAATAAAAAGAAAGAAAAAAATTCAAAAGCTCAATTTAATTTTATTTCGGAAGTGGTGATTCATGCAAAATAATGCAATTATGATAAATTCCTTGTGTACATTAATTACGGAATCTACAGTATTGGTATTGGCACATCCAGTGGTCTTTGTGCCAGTTCTGTGATTTAAGTGTTATTTTCTTAACTCCAGTAAATTCCTCTGTTTTTGCAGTCAAAGAATTGCATAAATTTACTTCCTGATAGCTTTGTACTCAATACTTATGCATAGGTGGATCCAAGGGGTGTGTAGATGCATATTCTGTATCTGCAGTACATGTTTAAAGTAGTATCTTATGAAAAATGTTTCATTTTATGTTTTTATTTCAGCCAAACAGAGGACATGATTTTGGATTTTTATTTGACATTGATGGAGTGATAAAAAGAGGAAAACGTATTCTTCCATCAGCTCGCGAGGCGTTCCAGCTCCTGACTGATGACTCCGGGAAGTTTCGACTACCAGTAGTATTTGTAACAAATGCTGGGAACACATTTAGGCAAACCAAAGCTGATGAGCTTTCTGAACTTTTAGGAATAAAGGTAAGAAATTAAGGAGGGATGAACGTTACGTTCTAAAGAGGAGATGAATTTTAATGGTTCCTTAACCCAAGGTTATTTGGGCAAGTTCAAGGTCACTGTCAGAAAGAAGTGTATAGTTCAAAACTTTCCTGTAGAAAAACATGATAGGTCATACTTCACATAGACATTACTTATGACCAGAGAGTATGTCATATCCTTGATGTAAGGTCATTTATACAAGTTCAGGGTCACAAAATGTGTAATTCCTGCCCTGGCTTTATCTTCTTAATTGTGAAACGGAAGCTAACACTTCATACAAACTACAAAGAGTGCTTATTACCTTGGGGTGTGCTTGACCTTGACCCAAGCTCATTTGAGCAAGTTCAAGGTAACTGGCAAAATAGTATAATTTTTTTCCCACAATTTTCTATTGGAGAAACATTGGATACAGCAATTTGGAAAAAAAAATGTTAATGGGGGTATCAATTTGTGAGCTCAATCAGAATACCTCCAGCTTTTATAAATTTCCATCATCTTTATCATGTTTATCCCTTATCATGCTCATGGCGGTAAATACCGCAATCAGCAAGTTTTCGTGTCAATACTGATCGCGGCATAAGTTTTTTTTGAGTATCGGAAATCCCAAATCCTATATTAGAATAAAAAATCCTTGAACAAACTAATATTTTTTTTTATTTCGTCATATCCAATTTTCAAACCAAAACAATATTGCAGTTTAAAAAAAAAAGATCATTTTTATAAACAGAGAGTTGTTCTCCAGAGTTTAGTCTCTGGTTCCCAAGCCCACAATCCAATGCACATCTATATGATTTTCACTTTGAAATGGAAACCCAGTGGTGGAGTGAGAACTAGACTATCTGACATAACACTATATTGATTAGATGATACTGAAGTAACATTTCAAGTTTGGATCATTTTTATTAATTGATTTCCAATTTTTGAAGTTGCAAAGATAGGCAAACAGATGGTTTTAATAATACCATACCAGATGGTTATTTTCCCACCCCATTTTCATTTATTTGCACTGAAAACACATTCTAGCTTTGATGAATTTGAAAAGATTTTGTTTATATATACACCTCCATGAATGTAAAGATGAGATTGCAAAATCTTAATATCTAGAACTAAATAGTGCACTGACAAAGAGAGGATGAATTTTCTTTCAACAGATTCAAAGTATACCTGTTTATTTTTAAAACAAAATGAAGATTTACATGTTGTTTTTTTTTTTTTTTTTTTTTTTTTTTTAAAGGAATTGGAATATGTTTCCTATATGTTTCCTAAACTAAGCTATTAAATAGACTGTTTAAAGGTTTTAGTAGCTTTAAATATAATTAATTATACAGAAAAATATATAGTATGATGTATATTATAAAAAACTAAAATGTAACAAAAAAGTTGACAATCATAAAATTTCTCTTTGTCAGGTGACAAAATAAAGGAAATTAAGGCACCAAACGAACTGTCGACATTGTTCTCCTGACGGATTTGACATTAAAATACATGCATACGTAGGCTGTTTTAGCTGTCTTGCATTAAATAAATTTAGCTTTCTTTGCCAAATATAGAATTGTTAGGTTAAAGAAAGGCACCTCAAGGAACCCCCCTGAATTATGATATCTTTTAGACTGTCGCTACTTATAAAATGATAAAAGGTAAATGGACGATTACGAGATACCTAGAACATGTAGAAGTCAACTAGTAAAAGGTAAATGGCCTATGGCATACCAGCAATGCCAAGGTTATGTGCACTAGAATTTTTGGAAAAATAGACATTGAAAATAATGTTAAACAAAGTGCATATGACTACGTAGAAAATATAAATTAGGTCATAAATATTATGAAAACAATGGTAACACAGATAAAGATATAAACAACTTCAGAATTCTTAGAATGTGACATTAATATTATGTACCGGTACACCCAAATGTCCAAAACAACAGCTGATAGACAGATGTGCGCAGCATTTATTTCCCTTTTCATTGATAACAAACAAAGGTCACCCATACTTCTTCAGATTGAACTAAAAATTAAAAATTTTCAGTCAATGTTCATTATTGATTGATTGAATGATTGTATTAGACATGTTAGTTACATCTCTGGGTGAATCATTAGGGTGAATGACTGATTGCACTTGAGCATTTACTACTTAGTGTCCACCACTGTTACTATGATAGGATACCCTCTCACGTCAATGACTGCATCTTTGCTGATGTGATATAATACCTGTTTTAATCATTGATTTACAACATATATTGTCATCACTTAGTCATGTCCACTTCATATTTAAGGTCATACACAACAAACATGTACACGTACCTTAAAATGATAATCTTTCAAAATATTCTTGATTTATTATCTGACATAGTACCTTGAGATGTTCTCAGAGAAAAAAAAATCAGCATACTTTTCCAGGGGTTTTTGAATGGAAAATCCTGACGTGTTATTTAAAGAAGAATTAACATAAGTATTATAGTTTTAGGTGGTATTTCCTCAAGATTTGTGAACAGCCTCATTAGGCAGGATATGAGTTGCACAGAGTTCCATTAGTTATTGGAACTCTTAAATTATACAGGGAATAAGTAAATAAAGTTCAAAACTACATTATGTATGTCTTTAAAGTAGAAAAGAATTTTGCACTCTTTAGGAAAATTGAATATTATGAAATATATAGATGTGAATTCAGCGAAAAGGTACCATGATATCATCATGATCATGCATATGGTGTCCTTTTAACCTAATATTTTGGAAATTCAAAAAATTTTGCAATTTGTAAAAATTATAATAATAATAATAAGCAAGCTCTAATTTAAAAATCAATTGTGGAGCACATGGCTAAGTGGTCAAATTAGGTGTTTGGCCAGTTACTCAAAAGTTGCTGGTTCAAGCCCCACCATGGGCACTTGATGTTGTGTCTTAAAACAAGGCCCATTCATTTTGGAGTCAATGTATCCGCTCAGCCCCACAGACTCTGGGTATAAGCATTGGAATTTTAAGCTTCAAGGCTGGGAGAAATATTTTTAAATCAAGTAATACCTTAATATAGTGTTTTATCCTATTGAATATTCCATTCTTAATTATCATAATGACTTTAGATGTGTTAATTTTCTGACTGTTTTGTAGATAAGTACAGAACAGCTTGTGATGTCCCACAGTCCTCTCAAGATGTTTAAGCGTTTCCACAACATGCACACCCTGATTTGTGGTCAGGGCCCCATCGAGAGTATCGCCCGCGACCTCGGATTCACCAACGTTACCACTGTGGACCAACTCAGGGAATTGTTTCCTTATTTAGACATGGTGGATCATTCCCATAGGAAAGTTGAGGTTAATTTGATTATTTACTTGTAGGATTTTGTACATAATTTATGCTTATTAAGCCATATAAACTTTCTTATGTAGACTTGTTCTTATTAATTATTTAAATCCACTACACTGAAACAGTTATTAGATTTTACGAAAATCAGCTGTTTGTCTGTGTACAGGTCCCTATACTCAAAGTTAAGGCCAAAGTTCAAAGATCAAAGTTTAGATCTGTTTCTATCTTATCACGTCAAATGTACACCAAGTGTATATTTCAATACCTTGTCTGATGCTTATTACAATTTGCGTCATTGATTTTGGTAAATAACAGAATTTAGGTCTGTTTCCAGTCCAGCCCATCCAAAACTGGGGGTGGGTGGGGAGGAACACAGCTTATAGCAGGAACATGATTATAGTTAGGTCTAAGTTGGTAGAATTGGTTTATTCTTTACATCTTTTCATGTCCTGTTTAATACATGAGCTTCTGATTGCTTTTCTCTTTTCTTTGTACTTTAGCCACTCTCTGTTCTTGAAAAAATCTTTTTTTCCTAGAGAAATATTCTTGCAAGTTTTGTTATTCATGTTGTTCATTGGTTATATGGTAACTTTGATTTTTGTTGCAGTAATGGCTTGTCTACATTTGGTTAATCTCATTGTAAGACTTCATCGTCAAACATTGCTTTGATTGGATTTCTGATTTCTTCCATAAATAGTGAGACAATCTCTGAGTGCTGACCTATTTCACACAACAAAAAAGAAAAAAAAATCAAATTACAAAGCAGACGGATATATAACATATGGAAAAAAAGCCTCAGTGTCTGTAACACAAAGATAATGACATTATTGCTGATATTTCAATACTTATTGCCCCTTATTGCACCATTCAGTTAGAATAAAAGAGGTGTAGATTTTCAGTCTATATGGAGTTTATTTATGCTGGGATTAGCATGTTGAAAGCCTAATTGCAGCAGTTGAGCTCTGTTGTATTGATTTTGTCATCCATCGTATGTAATCTGAGAGTTTTATTGTAACAGTGAAAGCTGTTTTGTAAACCAATGACTTTTTCATTTTATGATTTCAGCCCTGTCCAGTAAAATTTGCCAACTTTAAACCAATAGAAGGTAATAATTATATTTGATTATAGATGATTGATGCTATAAAGGGGAATAACTCTGAAATCATGATCATGCTCTAAAGCTTGGTGTATAATATAAAAAAAATGTGTGACATACAAACTGATATGGAAAATTGAAAAATTGACATTAAAAAAAAAAACACGGATTATCATATGAGATCAGACAAAAAGAAAGGGAGTGACATTAATATTGCATACATATGTAGTGTATAAAATCAAAATGTAAATTTTTTTTTTTTTTTTTTTGCCAACTTTAGCTGTTGTGTTATTTGGGGAACCAAATCAATGGGACTCCAAGCTACAACTTATCGTGGACGTACTGGTCTGTAACGGAATGCCGTCTCATCTCCCCAAAGAATTCCCCTCCACCCACCTACCCATTGTGGCCTGCAACATGGACCTGTTCTGGATGGCTGAAGTACCTATACCAAGGTAACGGCAGGTGTTATAGTTGTTTGTGTTCAGAGGACTGCTAAAGGAAGTACTGTGAAATAGAAATAAAGTCCTTGTATGATTCGCCAAAGAATATTTTTTCCCACAAGATGTCTCTCTTTCGAAAGTTATGATGAAATTTTTCCTCTTGGCATCACATTAATGATAAAAAGTAATGGTAATAGGAAAGTATAAGTTTTTGATAGACCTAATTATTGTACATTCACTACATTGTATGTACATCTGTATGCAATATTCACATCAATTAAAAATGTTATAGATTAGTAATTATTTGCATAAGCACAGTTTCTGTGATTAATAATTGATATAAATGCTAATTAGGGTTTTGTTGTCAACAACTTTATAAGTAAGTTATGTCTAAAAGACTAAGTTTTGTGACGTTGTTATTAGCACAGATATACATGTATATACGTTTACAATATACATACGCACATCACCATATAACCACAAGTTGATCATAATGGAGTTAACTCTTTTTTCCTTCTAGATTTGGCCATGGAATGTTTTTGACCTTTTTGGAAACTGCATATCAAGTAAGATTTTTGTCTCTATATATTCCTTATGACATTGGTAGCACTTTAATCCAATATTATACGAGGGAGATATTGGACTGCAATCTTAAAAAAGCTTTGTGTCTTCATTCACAGCAATACACAGGAAGAGAACTGAAGTACTCCGCCTTACTGGGAAAACCCAGTCTTTTTACGTATCACTACGCTGACAACATTTTGTGGCAACATGCAAAGCAACTAGGCTTCAGAAGTTTGAAATCTATATACTGTGTTGGGTAAGAATCTTGTTTCTTTCAAAATTTTGTTGTTGAATAGAGTTGAATGTAAACTACCAAAATATGCATTTTGGACATTTGAATATTTATGTAAGCAGTAAATGGTTATTTTCTCCATTTCACTCTGTGAGTCAAACATCACACGAAGTGTGCATACAAATTGAATATAAACATACTTATTTTAGTGGTTACCATATTTTAGTGCTGCCTTTTGTGCTACATCTTATCCACTAATATATTCGTGATTAAGACTAATACAGTAAATACATGTCTTCTATCAAACCCAAGTGTGCCTATTTATGATTGAGTTGATCAGATGAAGAACAAGATAATGCATAATTTTGATGTACATATGATGTTTACAGAATCAAGCATTATGTTAAATGAAAGTTTGTACGTTTGCCTCATGCTGATTTACTCTATGATACAATGAAATGCAAAAACTAATTATTTAACACCTCCTATTTCAAGATATTGGTATCAGTGTATTTATTATTTTAAATATAAGTATTTATAAATAAATATATATTTATAAATACATTTATTTAATTTTTAATTACATTCTTTAACAATTTTCAAAAATATTGATGCTTCATTTACAGAGATAATCCCAACACAGATATATATGGCGCCAATGTTTATGACCGTTACCTAAAAAAGCGAAAGGCACACAAAGTCCAGAAGAAAATGAAGCGCAAAATGGCCGCAGGAGGGGGCGGCGCTGTGGCCGACTTTGAATTTGAGGATGAGGATGAGGAGTTGGTGTCTGAGGAAGGAGGGCAAGGCAATTATTCCACAAGTTGTTCCTCCATTCTGGTGTGTACAGGAATATTCAGCAACAGCCATAGTGCATCGCATCGTAACCATAGAGACTTCGTCCTTGACCCTGAACTCTTGAAACCAAAGTACACGACGGAAAATGTATTTGAAGCTGTGCAACTCACACTAGAAAAGGAAAAATTCTTATGATGATAATGCTATTTTAAATATTAAGAATTTATTTGTTTTTATTTTAGTTTGCTCCAAGACTGAATTTTTTTTTTAATTTTACTAACTACTCATATATGTACTCTTAATTTTTGTTACCCATCAAGGTCATCCTAGTGCCATTATACGAGAACACAGGAGTTTTAGATTGAGAGCATGCATGACTTTAATCATAGGAATGAGTCTGTGTCTCATAGAAGCTTCATTTTTATGTTGTGCTTGGAACAAATTTATTTTCTTTCTTTTTTCATTTTTTTTTGTTTTAATAATGTTTTTGTCAATTTTTACAGACATTATTAGTGGTACATGCACATGTATTTATTAATTTTGTGAATGCGACAAGCATTTTGAAGTCACTTAGTGTTGCATATGTGACCCGACCCCCCCCCCCCCCCCCCCCCCCCCCCCCCGAACTAGATCTGGAAAATGTGTTGTGATGTATAATTGTTTAAAGAATTAATTATTGACATACTTAATTATAGCAAATTGCTACGAGATATCTATACATTGTTCAGATTTGAACAGAAATTAAAACAAGCTTCAATATGAAGTGGAATAAAAGATTGTTGCTAATTTTATCAATGATGTAAACCAGGAATGTATATGCCAAGAATTTGAGAGTTATTTGCAATTTCTAGAAGTAATGATGACTGATCGAATTAATTTTTCCACTATGCTGAAGTTGCAAAAAAGTGAGAATATTCAAATTCTCGTATAAAGATTGACTTTGACTGCTGAATCAATGATCTGGGAACTTACATGTATTTGCATTGTTTTAAAGTCTGTGGAAAGAAAAAACAATGTGAAAAAGTGTGTGATACGAAATGAAGAGTTATAATAGTTAATTGAAAAGATAGTGCTATTTATATTTTGATGAACTGTACCACATTTGAAATTTGATAATTTTATAGAGAATATATTTTCTGCTGTTGCGCCATACTGAAAGTGCTTGTAGTATTATTATGAAGATATTACTAAATGTGGTGTTAATATGCTGTTCGTTAAATGTACGTGCCAATTTTATTCTTTTGATTTTCTGACAATGGAATCTTGAGCTTTAACAGAAATGTCAAGAAGCAGATGTTATTTTTTTACAGAAGAGAAAATTGATGAAATACTGTAGATGCCATTTATAGTGACTCAGATCTATTGTAGAGTCACGTCAGAGATTATCCATGTGTAGTGTAGCTCTTATTTATTACATATTTTGTTAGTGTTTGTGACCATGGAGATTTTTTTTTATGCTGGTCATGGTGTCTTGGATTATGTATTTTGAAAATCAATCCAGTTCGAACCTCAGTATCTCGGGCTTGGCAGGACTTGTTCAAACTGTGAAATGTTTTGAGATACTTATTGAGATTGTAAAGTCTGCACGACTCCCAACTCACTTTGAAATACCCCAGGTACTAATATTCGACCTGTCAATGTTCGAGATGCTTTAGTTCAAGTGGTTTTTTTTTTTTTTTTTGCCTAATCTTGTTTAATTGTTTTATTGCAAACCCTGTGTTCCTGAATAATCATATCACTTAATTTTGTTGTTGTTTTTTCTCTCTTATTGCAGATTTTGCCCTTTCAATATTTACATAAATGTTTCATGTCAGTTATAGGTACATGTATTTTTTTTTGTTATCTTAAAAAAAGAATCCAATTTTTCCCAGTGAGTTTGACTTAACTGGTATCAAGTAAATGAAGCCGTGTTATTAGGCATTTTATTATGTTAAATGGGAGAGGGAGGCAGAATTTATATGTTTTGTATTTTTAAAAGGGATAAAATTGTTGTGTGGTCACATGAACAAACAGTGAAACTGAGATTGTTAGGGGAATTTTACTTGTACACAAACCAGTACATGTACTGTACGTAAGCCAACTTTTATTTGCGTGCGAGAAATACCTGCAAGTTTCGCGACCTACTTTAACTCGCGAATATTAATCGCCGCGAACTATCTATTTTCTTTGTATTTGTAGAGATTGCTTCCCCAGTCATGAAAATTAATTGTCGGGAATAGATTTCAAACTGACGAATCGCGAACAAAAGATGTCGCAAATAATACATGTAGTTGGTTTACAGTATCACATTTCTGTATTAGGATCCTTTTCTAGCTTTCATAGCAAACATATTTATAACTAATTCTGTGTATTTTATCCAGTTTTTTCTTTTAATTAAACAAGATGACAGTTGTGTTGAATTGAATAATGATATTGAAAGTGTAGTTACATATTATTAAATATCTCCACAATTTCATTATCATTGGGGCTATCTTTGATGTCATTGAATGAGGATATTTTTTATTGTTTCTTTTTAATACTGTAGATCACGAAATATTTGCAACACTTTATTTTAGCAAAAGAGGTATTTATAAGCGAGAGAAAATTTTCATGAATTTTGGTTATTGCTGTAATGCTATATAATTTAAACTTGTCTGATAAAAATATACATGAGATTGAAATCTTTGCGAGAAGACCCTCTCGAATAATTATGCAAAATAATGTTCTGGCATATAAACATGAATTACAGTACATGACGTTCATACAAAAGTCTGTAAGAAAAATATATTTTGGGACTTTCTATTTGCAATTTAAGTAGAATCGCACAGTATTACTGTTTGTAAAGTAAATGTACTTGAACGTTTTCCATTATGATGTATGGATCCGAAATCAAAGTAAAAACATTGTTATGCTTGTATTGGTGCAGTAAAAATTTTATTTACATTATTTAATATTTATGTTGGTACAATTAATACATACATGTAAATTAGTGGAACAATGCTATTAAAAAAATATGCACCAATATAAGTACATTAATTTTACAGTATTAGAGGGAATGTCTGTAAGCAGGGTGTTGAGGGTGTTTAGTTAAACATAGATATTACAATTATATTTATTTATGTCTTTTTTTATCTGTGAACTCTTTGCTGTCATCCCTGAACATTTTACTTTTGTTGAACACAAGACTTGCATCAGGATATTAACTTGGTGAAGAATAAAATGTTGATTTACTTTGTCTTGTATTACTTGCAATTATTTGAATTTGATTCAATTCATGTGATCTCTACGTAGCCAGAAGAAAAGGAGCAAACTCAAATTGTACATTGGGAGATGATGATTTTGAGTGGGTTAACCTTTCATCGCGCTCTCAGAGGAAAAAAAAAGAAATTGTGAAGATCACATCTTTCATTTGAACAACTTGATACAGAGCCAAGAATCTACATACATGTATATGTATGTTATTGTTCTCAGAAAATTAAACTGATTAAGTTTATCACAATTTATAAAAATTTTGCTTTTACCTAACATCTTTGATAGAATTTTTTGCAATGTATTAGAATCGCTTTAAGTAAACACAGATTCATGTGTAAAAATTTACAGGATGCAACATTGACTAGTTTCAATGCCCCTCCTAAGTTACTCAAGGAGATAACCTTTCTCCATTACTTTTTGCACTATTTATAATGACATAGCAAAAGAAGTTCATTGTCTTCATAAAGGTGTTAAAGAAGACACAGCTCTATGGTTCTGAACTACGAGGACGTCATTTCACTCATTGCTCTCAAAAGATTTTTGCAGAATACAGGGTAATATTTTGTCTGGTTGTGGTTCAGAAAGATGCCACTTGATTATGAAAAAAAGTCCAAAGTTGTAAATTTTCCCAAAGGAACCTTATCAGTTAAGGGCTACTAGTATATTTAATAACAATGGAGGCTTCAAGACAAACATTGAAAATTGTAGTACAAAAGCAGAAGTCAGGGCTTTAAGTGCATGATATCAATTAAAGAATAATCATAACCACGTTGGTTTCAACACATTTGAAATGCATTTTAGTAACTGTGTCTCTTCAGAAATTGACTATTGTAGTGACCTGTGGGCATTTGAAAGATCGTACATTGATATGGTACTAGCTTGCGCTCTTCTAAAATAGTCAAGATGCAAAATTTATTTGAAAAATGAAATACATGTATGTCAGAAAGGACAGTAGACTGGCAGGGGGCCATGATGACCACACTCACCACGTACAGCCAAAAGAGGTGTGGACAGGTGAAATTCGAAAGTAGTCATGTGGCAGATTACATTTGATAAAATGAAATACTTTTAGTAGACATACTTTTTCCTTGTGGGATGAATTTTCGCTTGAAATGTGAAAACTTCATTAATCTGTCACATGAAATTTAGCATTCTTTTGAGGCAATACAGCAAATGATTTGATTTGCTAAAATATAACTTGAAATATGGCTGAGTGAGTCATTTGGTAAAAAATGTTATAAACAGGTTTTTCTAAAAAAAATTTAAATTGTAGAGAGATGACCCAGAGAATTTTTTTTTTTTTAGAAAAATGTGTTTCTAAGTTTAAGTCACAATAAGGCTTATATTTACACGGAAATGGACCAGCTCTAAAACCACTGATCTGTTAAATCACCTTGAAATGGTAGGTCATATCCAGCATCTGAAACATATTATTTTGTAGTGTTCATCCATAGATATATCATCTATGCAAGGTTGATCATCATAGAGCTTATAGAAACACACTAGGGAATAACCTGCTCCAAAAAAACATCTGATCACTCATTCCAAAAATGTACAAGTAGGGCAGTTCCATCATCCAAAGCAAGTCTGGGAGTGTACATGCCAGAATTCATCACTCATGCCAGTTTGGTTCAGGTAAGACTTACATGTAAAGTTACTTAAAAATGGACTTGCTCCTAAAACTTTAACCAGGATGCTGATGCCAAAGTTCTAGCAAAAGGTCATCTTAACTTTGCTGATGTGAGCTAAAAAGCATTAATTAGCAATCATAAACAAGTCATTCCAAAAAAAAAAAAGTTGAGACTTTATTTGAAGATTTTGTTATACAAAAATATGCATTGTATATACATTATAAATGCACACATCACAAAGCTGCATGAAAAATGAGATGTGTGTTTTACATGAACATGTATATTCATTCAATTTTGCTGATTGATGATATGTACAGTGATAAACGACTTTCTTCTAAACCCACTCTATTGCATTAATTTTGCCAGGTACTGTAGAGTATGAACTATATTAAACACATGGTGAAATAAATTGTTTTCCTTACCAGTGGAATATTTTTCAAATTAGTTTTTGTCAGGGTTAAAATTTGTCAAAAACAAACACTTTGTTATACTGCTGCCTGGCATGGTTTCAATTTGAAAACAATTCAGAGTTTGGTTGACAATTCAACCAATAGAAATAATAGTCTTTTTTTGTCCACCAATCATAAGCCTAGCATTTTCTTTGACTCCTCCTCCTCTGCTTGAAGGTCATCACTGACATATTTCTGTAAGAGCTCCATCTTCTTTCTCTGTATAAGAGCCTCCTCAATCTACAAAACACAATAGATGGAAAATCAATAAACACAATTAATAACCAAGTGTGCCCTGCCCACTTTATATAGCATAACTATTTTGTACACACAGTGCTGGACTCAGGATATCTGACATTCAAATTTTTGTACAACAGATGAACATGATGAAACTTTACTTGTAAGAAACTAATGTAAGATCACTTACTTTAAAGGGTCAAATTTTGGGTTTGAAGAAAATATTTTGGTTTGTGGGAATTGATTTCATAGTTGAAAACATGAATATGATACTGTAGTTTGAAATAACTTTTTAGGGAGGACGTAAATTTGTCTCTTCATACATGTATGTACCATGAAAGCAAATAAAATTAAATCACAATGAAAATGAGTGATTTCAAAGTAATTGGATGAGTATATGTGAAACACATGCCTAAAGTAAAGGCAGATTCCTGAGATGGTACATATGTACCAGTACCTATAATCATGACCTTTACCTGATACGAAACTCTCACAAATCACCAAATATGAGATTTCTTTATCAGAATCAAATGTTCTATCCGTTGTTGAACAGGAAATTACATAAAAGTTGTCAATACAGAGTTACAAACTAGACTCAAACGTCACAAATATTTTTCCCCCAACCTTTAACTGTTGGGGCATATATTAAATGTACTATAAAACATAAAAAAATAATTTATCAAACTAGGGTAGATGTTAAGTAAAAATTCTGCAAAAGAAATGATTGGCATTCTGTTTACTTAATAAATCTCCAAAGAAAGCATGGTCGTAACTCTAAAATTTCCCCCTCATAGCCTTAAACGTCTCACCTCTTTCTGGGAGGGTACAGGTACATGAGCAATGAAATGTTCTTCCTCTGTTGATTTCTCTTCCTCTGGTTCTGCCATCACTTCATCCACATACTGCAAAACAAGGGAAAATACAATGGTTTGAAAAGAAGATTTTTCTCAGAAAAACAAATATCAAGCATCATATAAAGTACATGTATGAATCCTACTGAGAAAAAAATAATTCAACTGTGAAATACTGAGTAGCAAATTGATTTCCTCCAATCAAACACATTCAGGTACATGTATTATACCTGTCTGCGATTTTGATTAAATAGCTACAAATTCTTAAGAAAAGTTAACCACAGAAATACATACATGTATAAACATACAGGGCTTTCAAAAAGATTAGAAACCAATGGTACCTTTATTAAAATAAGAGGTACCTTGTGGAAGCTATTTTAATTAAATATGTTATTTAATTTCAATGAATATTTTGGCTGGTATAATAATGATTTTACCTGGGTAAAAGTACTGGGTACCAGCAGATTTTGAAAGGCTTGAATATATCATACAATATACATGTACCTCGTGTGCATCATCAAATCAAATCAAAACAAACCTCCTCTCTCTGGTACAAAGGTTCTTCCTCCTCCGTTTCCATTTCCTTTTCTTCCTGGGTTTCCCCTCGGACAATGGCTTCCTTTTTTTCTTTCCATTCTCTTATTTTCTGAGCCATTACTAAAAAAATTTGCATAATTAATATGAACTTAGGAAATTGAAAAATTTCTCTAAAAACTACATGTTTGCAGTGATACCAATTTTTTTTTTCTCTTAGAATGATACACATGTATAAATTCTAATTTTAAAAATGAGAAAAGCTTTATCTGTTAAGTTGAACAGTTTGTAAGTAATATTCATGAGATATCATAATGAGATAACAATTATAAATACAATGTTAAACAACACCGCCAATTTTAATACCTTTTTTCTCCATTTCCTGTTCCAGGGGAAGAATACGTCCATCATCCTCATCTCTGTAACCATAGTAATCAGCATCTATATTTTTCATCAGCTCGCCTCGTGTTTTTCTGAGAAGTGGGGGAGCTGTAAAATTGAATTATACATGTACATGTACAATGTAGCTTCATGAATGGAATAACAATAACATGTGCTTCATTGAGCAATCCTTTGCATATTTTCTTTAAATGCATCTGCATGTAATTCAGAATCAGAAAAAAAATCTTATAACCTGTCATACATGTATTGTAAATCACTTTTTATTCGCAAGAACTTTATTTTTGTGTAATTACAGGAGTCCGGCTGCCCACGAAAAATTTCATTCTTGCATATATTAATTTCATAAAGGATTATGTACATCAAAAACCAATATAATTTTGTAAAAATTTTCTCTCTCTTACTAAAACTGAATAGTTTTGTCGTGAAAATACTGTGGAATCATCATTGTTCGTGGGGGATCAATGTTCATGGATTTCGTGGGTCACCTTTACCCACGAATTTACATCCCCACGAACAAATTTTTGTCAACGTACTGATTCATTAAATCTTCCAAATAAACAAGCTGCCCACGAAATTACATCCCCACGAACCAATAAAATTTTGCTTGCCCACAAACATTGACCCCCACGAATTTAAATGATTCCACAGTAAGGTGTCATGAAATTTTTTTGATCCACAGTAGGTCATGATAATAAGTTACAGAAAAATGTACACTATTTCTAGACAGAACATGCAGAGAAGCAATTTTTTCTGTTCAAGGGGATTCTCTATTATATAATTTTCTTCTTCCTTGAGATTCCTCTTTACACGACTTATTTCTTCAGAATTCTTACTTACGCTCTTGTTCAAACAACTCCCTGACCCCAGGGAGATCTCGCGTGGCACCAAAATACTTGTATCCCTTGTTTCCTGGGACTTCTTTCCCTTCTTTGTCCAGCATCTTTGGTCCAACTCTCTATTCAAAGTTTATTTACTTGAAGTTTATCACATGAAACACTAACAAGTACAATGGGCATAGTACTAAAAAAATAAGGAACTACAAATAAATCTACCAAGTATTTCATTCCAGAATATTGCTTATTTCCAATTCATTATCAAGATATATATATATATATATATATATATATATATATATATATATATATATATATATATATATATATAATATATATTTCTATATTTATATACTGCAATTTCTCATATGTGATGCTGGGCAGAAAAAAAATCGAGAATCAGCTATTTCTATCTGAGAGCAAATCTATTTCTGCTTATTACCATGATTACCGATTTAATTCACAAATGTATCTAATTTAACATGAACCGACTTAGCTCTAGAGCAGAAAAGTAAAATATTCTAAAATTCTTTTTTGGTGATTCAATGAAGTTGATCAACTGTATCTTACAGTTTCTGTTATTAGTCATTTTTTTGACACATCATCGGAAAGGATTTGGATTTTCTAAGTTACAAACACTGCATCATGATTCAATTTTTGATGCAGCTTTAACTTTAACCCTGTCTCTAAATGATAAAATAGGAAGTACCCACAATTCTCAGTATTCTCACTTCCTGTCAATATTACTGTGATTGGCTCTTCTTTTTACACAGAATGTTTAAGAAGTAACTTATACATGTACCTTGTAATCGGGACCACCTAGTGCCTTAATCTGGTCGTCCCAGTGACCCTTTTCACGTAGAAGTTTGTTGATTTCATCGTTCAGATCTCTCAGTTTGAATTCTCCAAGACCAGCTATCAAGTAAAAAGATGTACAAAATGAAAACTCTGGTAAAATATTGGCAGTACATGTTGTGTATATCATGTAGAACAAATCTTTTCTGCATAAAAAATGTTCAAGCAACCAGTTAATACAGCAAAAACTCTAAACATACCATTTTGAATCTGTGCCATCTTCCTAGAAATTTCCCCGATGATTTGTCTCCTCCATTTCTCAGCCTTCTTTAAGTCATCACATTCTGTTGCAAGGTAAGGCCTTCTTTCCTAAAATATATATCACAAGTTATTTAACAGAAACTGCTTTTTAATGAAATGCATTTCTGTTTACAACGGTGAATTATTAAAATGTCTACTATTGTGAGGAGTGCTTACATACTAGAGATTAGCAGGTGCAATTGTCCAATTGCTATTCAAAAATGCCTTATTCATTGAAAACAGTTTACCCTTTTAATTTAAATGCAACATTTGTTAAAAAAAATTCTATCAATTGCTCATCAAAATTATTCTAACTCAATGACATTTGATCTGGTGGATACAAATATTTTTGAAATAGTACAAGAGTCTCCTCATTTTATTTTTTGAAATTAAAATTTATTTTCAAATTTATCAAGATTACATATGGCTCCTGTGACAGTGTCAATATATCTTCACAATGTCAAGCAATTGCTCAAAGAAATTAGTAAACAGAACACCTTGACATTAGGGCTGAAATGATATGCCCCCTCCACGATACGGTACGTATCGCGATACTTGTGTCACAATTCAATTTTTTCAATACGATACATTTTAAAAAAGAAACAAATCATAAGGTTAAAGAAAACATGTATTCAGATTTCAAAAGGCAAGTAAAAGGTGGTTATACAATAAAGAGCACTACTTGTGCTTCTGTAGATTAAAAGAGCACTTTGTTCATGTCAATACTAGCAGTGGCAGCCTGCTCTGAAATTTTCTCTGTCGCAATTTTCTCCCTCGTGTGTGTCAAACTATTAAAATAAGGTCAAACCCGATCTATTTCAAGGAGTAACCAAATATGATTATAAAAAAAAACATACCGAACCAAAAATCGAGATACTGAATCGAACATTGAACCGAGCAGTAATATTGAACAATATCGATATTTCGGTGAATCGTTTCAGCCCTACTTGACATTGTGTACAGATGGCATGAAAAAGCTTCTGGGTTCTGTAAACATTAACTACATAACTCAGTTCTTTGGTCTGTCTGGTTTTGCCTTGCAATCCCATACCTGTTCTTTTGTCTTGTCTTCCAGATGAGCAGCCCTCCACCTGGCCAAGGTGGTCCTAAAATAAACAAAAATATGATTATGTTGGTATTTTTTTTTTTTGGGGGGGGGGGGGACAATCTATCATTGGCTGATAATCAGTCTAAGAAATAAGCTGAAGTGTCAAAATGTTTGAGTTGATCAACTTGGACTGAATTGGTCAAAGCATAACTTGAGCTGAAGTGTCTGGTTACCCTAAACTTACAAAACTGATGCATGGATATTGTGTTATGAGATTGATTGCACTACAGAACAATTAAGCATGATGTTAAAGTTCTTTGATGTAACATCCTCAATACAGTCATGGGAGATTGGAAACTTGAGGTAATTAAGGCAAGAAGGGAAATAAATAAATTTAATTAGTCTGCATATACCCCTGCAAGATGAATATTGCCGTGTTTATGTCAATATTTATTATTTCACACAGTATGAAAAATACACTGTATTTATGACGTACATGCAACAGGGAAAAAGAAAATGCAAAGGATGAGACCAATTTCATGTACATGTATCAGTATATATAACTGAACCAGTAATTTATGTTTTACAGAGTCTTATGTACAAGAGGAATTTACATAAATTAGAACTTGTGCTTTTGGTGAGGTCATACTTCTTAAAGTCGTCTCTTAATCTTGTTCCAATATCAAGTTTAGTGCCATGACAAGGATATGAAAGACCTGCCAGAGAAGAACCTGGGTTAGTGTCTTCAGGGGCAAAAACATTTGAAAGGAATGCGGCAGTGTGACAGTTAGGCAGTGGTAGAGCACCTGCCTAGAGTTTGGGGGAGGGGGGGGGGGGGTTGCTTCCCACTTAAAAAAAATTAATATTTTGGTACATGATATATTTGATATAGTAGGTATATGATTTTTTTATCAAAGATTTTATATTTGGTATAGTAGGTATATGATTTTTTTTTTATCAAAGATTTTTTTACGCTATGGGAGGGAGGTTGACAAAACACGGATAAGTCACGGAATACGGATGCACGGAAATACGGAAATAAGTTTACAAAATACGGAGAAATTACGGATAGAGTTTTTATATACGGAATACGGAAAATTAAATCATGGATAATATATTTTTGTGTTATTTGTAGTAGTTATTATTATTTTACATTTGAGTTTACGGAAATCCGTATAGCTTTACTGTATACGTAACAATGGTATCCACGGTGACGTCACAAATAGAGCTAGAATTTGGCGCGAGATGGATGACGATAAATCTACAAAAGTTGAACCTATAATTTCAAATAGACACTCTAGTCTTAGTGTTAGAGATGTCGAACATTTAATCCTATATAAAGAACACAGTTCACAAATGCCATTTCGTCCAAGAGGCGGCGAAGTTTATGTCTTTCATCCAAAAAACGAAATGGAAAATAGAGATTGGGTTGCTGATGGACATAGGTATATTGCAAAGATTTATTGTTAATAAATATAGTTGGAAAACTACTGTTCTTATACATTTTCAATTCTATCAATTGTTTTCTCTTCTTTTTCTGCTATCTCTTTATCTTCTTTCTTTCATTTCATATACATAGCTTTTCATGTGAAGGAACCCGGAAAGTAAAAGGAAACTCAGGAGAATTAAAAAAGTATTATTACTATTTGCATATTGCTACGGAGGGGAGAAAAAGAATTACGGACAAAAGGTTTAGGAAAGAAGTTTATGTCCCTTTATCATCCAACTTTAAAAACATTGCCGTGATTCACTATCTTGGAGATGCGTCTTTTTCAAAACCAAAAGCTCACGGAAATTGTACAAAACAGACAAAAATATCCGTGAGAATTAAACCCTCCGTGGTAAAAAAAATTGAAGAAAACGTAAAGTCCAATGACAAAAGTGCACACAAAATTTATAAAGAATCCGTTGTTACGGAAGAAAATGCTGAAATCACGGACATGCCAAGAAATGTTCGTCAAATTCATTACATCAGAGAAAAAATGAAATCGGATGAAAGGCCAACAAAAGATGCATTAATAAACTTACAAGCTATTGCCTATGAAGACAAAGGATTTGTTCATTTTATTGCTACATTTCCAGACCTAATTGCAATTATTGGAATGGAGGAAATGCTAAAGGAACTGAATGACAGTCTCCAAATGGGCAGTAAAATATTCCGCGAAAAACTTTTGGCACGACGCTGTAGAGATATGTTTTGGTGGGCTTCCAGAAAATATTCATTTCCATACTGAAGCACTGAGGCCCCATTTGTTGAATTGTATAACTAACGGAATTTTCCGTAAATTTCCGTCATCTCCGTGCAAACGACAACAGTCAATAGAGTTTACATATGACATGAAGTTGTTTTGCACGTGCAGGATGCCTGAACATGGATTCATGTTTAATTGTACCAAGTGCCGCCAGTGGTTTCATCCACGATGTCAAAATACGACACTTAATGAAAAACAAATTAGAAAGTCTAAAACAATCAAATGTATGGATTGTAAGAGTTCATAAATGATGTTTATCCTATAAATCTTTGTTATTAAATTTTGTAACATTTTCTCCGGACAAATAAATTCTGTGCATTGTTTTATTGTTTTATTTTTAATTACAGAACTCACGGAATAATATTCATAATGATAGGTATAACTTTTTAAATGTACGGAGATGTACGGACGAATTTATCATCCGTGCAAAAACAATCCGTGATTTGTACTATTTTCTATATTTCCGTACATCCGTGATTCCGTGACCTGTCCGTGTTTTGTAAATGGCGCTATGGGAGCAAGCCACTGTGTTTCCTGTTACATGCATTTTGTATAAATTGTCTGTACTTACATGGCCTTCTCACTGTTTCTAGCCTGAAAAAAGGAAATGACTGTTATACATCTGTACAAAAATATACTTGCTACAGCTACATCAAAACAGAAATTCAAGAAGTATCCCCCTTTTCTTTGTTGCGAAGAAATTGAAATAATTTACAATAATCACCCAAAGCAAAATTTTGATTACATTAATTGAACGCTTTACATTCTTACCATGGTTTTTATCTATTCTCTGACCATATAAAGCAATATATTATCCGTTTCTCGCAAAGAATAACATTTTTCGTGCTTTGTACGTCTTTTACATCTCACTACCGGAAAAAAGGACAATAAACTAAAGTACAGAACCTGGATTGATCCGTATTCATCATTTATATATTAAAAAAAATATTCATTATTATTCATATATGATGAATCATGCAGTTTCTCCATCAATATTTTGTATGGTCTCACAGTGAACGTTGTATTTTAGTTTGAATGGCAAAGAAAAACTCTATTAAATTTCTTGCAGCCTATATCCGGAACATGAAACATTGACGATCCATGTTTCGAGTTAGCATGCGACCTTCATTTCCTGTTGTTGAACACGTTGTGTTGATTCTTTGATGTCTTTCTAAAAGAGCAAGTTATGTGATTATTTTTGGACTGATAATGGTGAGATTTATGTCAACTTGTCATATTGCATGATTTTAAAAGTTGACAAAACAAAATGAGTGTAGGTTTAGGTTTAGATACTGAAAAACGTAAAAGGAAATGTACATAATGATTTTTCTATGTTTTTTTTCTTTCAAAAAACTATTTTTAATGTATTGGAAAATTTCATGATAACATACTAATGGATATAAGTGCGAAACAGCCACCTTAATCAATCATAGGGGCTCGTCTTCCGGATTGTTAAAAATAAAATAATTAAATTATAATTTGATTTACAGGACTAATTCTTCAGTCACATTAAAAGTTGTTTTTAAGAAAGTTGTTAGCATGTATTGGCAATGGATATCCTATGCATAAACCATATAGCTGCAGAACTTTATCTCTCTGGTGGAGAAAATTTGGACAGACAAACCAGAGAACTACAGATCCAAGCATTGTAAAAACTTCCATTTGTCCCCGCCAAAAGCATGGTATCCTTTATTCAACAGTAACCATATATTTTACTCATAATCTTGTTGCTTTATTTACCTTTCAACGGTTCCAAACACCCCTCTATGGAATTGGATTGTCAGTTGTAGAAATTCATATTCTGGATGTCCATGTTGAGGTCTTGGTAAAATACGTCTATTAAAGGAAATACACATGCTGAGAAAAACTTAATAAATATTTTTGGGGGTCATATATCATCTATATTGTCTATGAAAAATGCAAAATGTATATAAAGAAGAAATAATACTTGAAGCGAGCGAAAAAAAAAAGCGGTGGCGTAAATCGAAGGTTTTTAGAATGCTTGGCTCTCTGGCCCCAAGACCATAAAAGAGAATAGACTTAATTCAAAAATTTGATTCTCAATATCTTGATTTTTATTTAATGTATTTGCTTAAAATTATGCAATTTTATTTAACATTGAAATTTAAATATGTGATGAAAATTTTGTTTCATTATCAAAATTATTTCAAAAGCTATATTGGTTCGAAATTTTGACTTAAGTCTGTTCTCAGTTTATGGTCTTGGGGCCAGGTTTGTCAGTCCGAATTTTCTCAGCCAGAGGGCTACACTTCTGCAGCTAAAAAACAAACAAACGTGTTTCTGTACTCCATCCTACATATTTATTTCATTGTCATGGTACAGTCAGAATCCAGGAATTGAAGTTGGGGGGGTGCAAAAAGTAGGCAAGGGGTTTGGGGGCCACCTTGAGGCCCTCAGTGGGTCCTTGGTGAAGCCCTTGTTGGGGCCTAGGGGGCCAAGCCCTCAGAAGCTCCTGGATTCTACAGATTTGGTAGGGTAAAAAAAAAGGTCTACTGAGTAGACATTTTTACATTTTCTCGACAAAACTATGATTTACACTAACTTCCTAAGTTAGGGATGGTTTTCCTAAATATTGATGTACTTTTCAGTAGGGCTGTCAATTTTTTTGGGTTGGTTCTGTAAATTTTCGGTTTAGTTTTTGGAATTTAACTTGAAAAATCTTTATTTGTTACGTTAAATTCACCTTGTAAACAAGTCATCACACGTATTAAATCAAGCCCCTTTGAACTCAATTACAAGTTCTATCCATGAGAAGGGGGGAAAAGAAGCTACCTTCAATATAGCTTTAAGCGAAAAAAATCTTGATAGCTTTGAGGGTAAAACTGTGTTTGCACAGAGCTGAACCAATTGAGTGATAAAAATTAAAATGCTTTAAGTTGAGTAGTACAGCTGCATAAAATTGGAAACAATTTTTTAGCTATTTTAGGTTGCAAATATATATTTTTTTAATTTAAATTTTATTACTAAATAATGTTTTAGTTAAGAAGACAAGCTCGTCTACGAAGAGAATACCTGTATAGGAAGTCTATTGAGGACAGAGACAAGACTATCCTTGAAAAGAAACAACGACTTACAAAAGTTCTTGATGGTAAAGTGTGGGAGAAAACTGTGAAATCACTCATTTTCATGGTGGTTTTATTTTCGGTGTTTTTGTGGTATGAAGAGATCGAATCACAAATTTATGATGTCCAAAAAATGTAAAATTTCAAATACATATCTCATACTTCAAAATTCTTCAACCAAGAATTGAAATCCACATGCACCAGTATTTTTTTCTCTTAGCCACGAAAATTTAACCCCATGGAAATATGTGATTCTACAGTACTGGGTACATTCAAAATGCCTATAGAAATATGCTTAAAGCACATAACTGCTTATAGCAATGTCATGTTTTAAGTGTCACAAAGAACTTAAATGTATTGAATGGAACATCAATTGGAAATAAGAAAAAAAGGTCACAAAGAATGGATTTTGGAAGTCCAAAGTACAAGAAGTAGTTTCCCAAATCTTATATGTACATGTAGTAATGCACTTCACCCTTTAATCATTAATATAAATATTTTATTGTTGATTGTTTTATTAAAATCAGGAACCAAACGAAATACATGAATTTTCAAGCTGTTTAAGAGATAAAAGCATAATTTATTTGTTTATTTAAGTAGTAAGTACATTTTATTTTCTGATTTCTTTTTTTGTGAAAAGTTATTCTTCCTACAGTTGAACACAACACTGAAACAGTTTTTGTTCAATATTTCAGAAAACAAAGAAATTCCATCAGACTTAAGGAAGGATGCAATTGATATCCAGAAAACATTAGACTGGGAGGGCCCAGGAGCAGAGGGTCTGTATCCAACATACTTTTTTTTTTTTTTTAAATTTCCAGTTCATCATTTTGTAGACTGAGGTAGTTGTAGAGTATTAAATAGGATAAATCTGACTAATTGTCAAGTGTTGATCTCTCTTGCAGGCATTGTGAACCATGTGGATGATGAGTATAAATGGGCTGGTGTGGAGGATCCCAAAATAATGATCACTACCTCCAGGGACCCTAGCTCTAAACTCAAGCAGTTTGCCAAGGTTAACTTCCAACAAAATTTTATTCATTTTTAATGTTTTTTTTCCAAATATCTGTGGGGTTTGCAGTTGTTTTATAATCATTTTAATATACTGTACTTGTGTCATGTTTTTGTGTGGTATGCATGGGACACTAAGAAAAAGTATACATGAATCAGACAAATGTCTCATTTTGTTGAATGATGAAAAAAAGTTACAGCTAAAGAAGCAGCTTCACCAATTGTGGTTCAACCATCGAACCTCATATTGTTTGCTTTACCTAAGACATGACAATCTGTAATGAAATTATTTATCAAAACAGCATTAGAATGTGACTATGATCCATAAGGATAACACTGTTTCTGATGACTATTACCATAAAATATCACAGAAATACATTTTAGATTGTTCAATACAAGGTCACAAGGTCACAGCTTGGGTCAAGGTCATAAAGGCAACTCTTACATAAATGAAAGAAATATCTAAATGATAGTCTTGGATATATACAGAGTTGCATTCTTCTTACAGGAAGTGCGATTAATTTTCCCTAACAGTCAGAGAATAAATCGTGGTAACTATGAAGTGAAGCAACTGGTTGAAGCATGCAGGTCAAATGATGTGTCAGATCTCATCTTGCTCCATGAGCACAGAGGTGTGCCTGGTGAGTGAATTGCAGTATTTTAGCTTCTGTCTTTGAAGAAGGCAAATTTAATTAAGAGGGCCTGAAATGCAAAAGAATGACCATCTTTGTTTGCATTTTCAATCTCAGGTAGACTTTTCATACTGTTTCAAGATTTTTGATGATCTTATACCCTAAACAATTAGAAGAAAGTTCAAACTCTTGCTCTATTAGTCTAAAATTCTAAACTTGAATAATATCTTAAGTGTGTAACAAAGAGCTGAATCGTACAATTTACATTATTTAAGTAATGGGCCATATTCACAGAATAAATGATGTTGAACACATTATTTTTCAAACACACATGTTAATGTATTGTCCAAATATACAGTGGTCAATGAAAAATTTCTTCCTCTTTACTAAATAAAATCTTGGATTAGCCTCCATTTCTGATCTGTATTTAACCTTAAGCTAAACTGAGTTGTGTTTTATTTAAGCTTATATGATAGCAAAATTTATTTCATATTTGAAACATTTACTTGGTATACTTGGTCGGAATGGGTATAAATTGTCTGTTGTGTAAAAAATTACCATATGTACATATAGAACATAGTGAAAATTGACTTCCACAGTATGTGTTTGTTTTGTTCTACAGTCAAACCTTGTTATCTCAAACTCAATGGGACCAAGAAAAAACATTGAGATATCTGAGGATTTGAGATATTGAGGTTTAAATATATAAAGAAAAGGTTGGGACTTCCAACTCAGTTTGACATATCCATGGTATACGAGATATCAATGTTTGAGATACCAAAGTTCAATCGTATATGATACATGAGCGCAAGGTAAAGTATTCACAAGTTCATAAGAATCTGAGAGTAATGCACCTCACTTCTGTCTTTCTTAAGATGGCCTGATAGTGTGTCACCTCCCCTTTGGACCCACGGCTTATTTTACCTTGTCTAATGTGGTGATGAGACACGATATTCCTGACGTGGGAACAATGTCCGAACAGTACCCTCTTCTCATCTTCCACAACTTCTCCTCAAGGCTTGGGAACAGGGTGAGTCATCTCCTTATGTAGGTATCAATAGAAAAGATACAGGATTTTGATTTTAATGCTAACAGTTTTTGATAATCATACCAGTAGATGTGTATGACTAAGTGATATTTATAAACAATTGACTTATAAGAAATAATGATAGATTTGAATTTTATAGGTGAAAAGTATTCTGAAATACTTGTTTCCTGTTCCTAAAGAAGAAAGTAAAAGAGTTATTACTTTTGCTAATGATGAGGACTTCATTTCATTCAGGTGAGAAATGGTTGAAAGTCAGTTTGTATAAATGTACATGTATGTACTGGATCCAAGAATAAATTATTCATGTTCAGTTCCATGTACCAGTATGTGAAGTTACAGTCCTTTCTTATTGTTCGAAATATCTAAATTTTTAAGTATATTTTTCAGATTTTTCGAAATATCTAAATTTTTAAGTATATTTTTCAGCCTTAGGTTCCTGAACTAAACTTAGTATAGAATTGAGTCAAGTTAAAAGAAGTTATATGTACATGTATCTCTATAAAATTTAATATTATGCTTCCTGTAAAGGGAGATAATTGTTTAAAAAAAATGTAAAGAACGGGGTCGCATATTAATCAAAAAGATATTTTTCTCTGAAACAATAACACAGTCATGATAAAACTTCAGTGTAGCTTATAGGCTGTAATAAGTGAAAGAATTCAAGCTTCCTAAAATTTGACACTAAGGGTGTCATATGGGGACAAAATTTTAAGTTAAAAATAGTGGAACTATTACAATTGGTGACAAACGAAATATCCTATACTAAAGCTTCTTACTAGAGTGTTCAATTTGTTGAATTAATGACACTTAAAGATCAGAAAGGAAGCACAGTTACAAAGGATTACAGGTTTGTGGAAAGCCCCCTCAAAAAGAAAACAGAAGTAATATAGTGGATCAAGTATTTTTGTTATCAAATCATTTCCCTTGGAAAAATTTATGACCTCCCCCTTCCCTACAAATTCCTTCAGAGTTCTGACCATTAGAATACAGTAAATATATATGTATATTGCAAAAATATATTTTATGCATATTTCGTATTTCCAATGATGTCAAGCACTTCTCATGTAGGCATCACATCTACAAAAAGACAGAGAAAGGGAAGGATATAGAACTCCAGGAAGTTGGACCAAGATTTGAAATGAAAGGTTAATTAACTTAATGATATTAATGATTTATGGTACCAGGTAGTCATTTTCTGTTGACTGCCCGGTCAGTTTAGTGTCAATTTTCCATTTGTATGACAATGTTTTATTTCATTCTTACTAGTAATTGGTTTAAAACTCATTTTAAGGAAAATAATTTTTTTTTGCATTTTATGTAGTCATGTACATTTATTTGACATGCAGTTTTCTCATATTTTGTACATGCATATTAAGTATAGATATTTTACTCAGGGAGTTAGTAACAAGTTCTGTTCAGGTTTCTTTCTTTATTTTTTCAGTTTATCAGATAATTCTGGGAACCATAGAAAATGCCGACACAGCAGACACTGAATGGGTGTACAGGCCTTACATGAATACTACGCGAAAACGGAAATTTTTGACGGACAGCTAGAGAAGAAATCATGTTTTAGTGTGTGTACTTTATAAACGGTGACTAGTGAAAGAGATCCCATAATCCAAAAAAAATTGTGTTAAAAAAGCCTTTAACTGAAAGATCCCAGCTGGAAAGAAAGGGTTACTGATCGATATCCATATTTTCATGTGCTGAAGATAATGGAATTAATTGAAGAGAAACATTCAATCTTTCCAGTTCTCTAAAAATACTCTGCTGTTTTAAATCTTATGAGGTGATGTCAAATTTTGAGAATTTCAAAGATGTAATTTTTTTTTAATGATAAATTAATAAAAAAACATAATGTATGCTTTGCTAGCAGCTACACATAGGTCAGAGCTGACAGTAATAGAGTTCAAAATTTGCCTCATAGTAAACAAATGTAATTACACTGTACATATACTTCTGGTCATCAAATATAAAAAAAGTTAGTTCTTGCATAGAAAAGGTTGAAATTCTATAAACAGTATTGTCATGTGTACTGATACAGTTTGTGAAAAATGTATTTGAGCTTTTAAGTTTGTTTCAGAATCAGCATTTATTTGTATAGATATTATGGCAACATAAATGAAGTAAAATAAGTTCATGTGGAGACATTTCTTCTTTTCTCTTTTTTGTCAACTTCAATATGGGTTAAATGACTTTTGAATATTGCTTATATTGACATATGTTTTTCTGCCAGATATATATACATGTAAAGATTGATTTCTATTCAATTTTCCTTCGTAGCATACCAAAAAAACTTGCTAGCAAAGATGTATATATTGTGAAGCAATAAATAGGTTTTGATAGACTTGAATTTAGCAAGAATTACTCACCGTTGGCCTGCCATATTGGAGGTCAACATGCTTAGATTTCTTCATTATCTAACTAATTTAAACATGTCAAATGGGCTATTGAAGTGTAAAAACATTGTTTTCTGAAAAGTTCACATTTTAATTTTCATACTGTAAAGATTTTTCCCATATACATGTACATGTATAATTCCTGTCACAGTTTTGAATTGGTTGTTCACCAGATTGACCTCCAACATGGCATTATCTGGGAAAAAATCAGAGGAAAATTGTGTCAGATGAAAACTATCTGTATGTGTGATAACATTCACATTGTCTGAAAATGATTCATAAACTGCTATTTCTTGACAGTTAATCAGTGATTGTACATGTAGCTTTATTGGTCAAACACCAGTCAAGTTTTAAATTAAGTATGTAGAGTTATAATCCATTGCCTCTTCCTTTGAACGTTGTGAATGTTTATAGCTCACCTGAACAAAAGTTGAAGAGAGTACAATGAAACCCCAAACAGTAACTGTTGGCATCCTAGGTTCTTGTTTTTTTGAGGATTTTCATTTTGAAGGTCACATGAAACAAACTTGCATGGGTGATGCTTGTATAGAAGTATACTAAAAGTCTTGCTTTGGATGCCTATAATTACTGTAAACTGACATCTTATTTGAAAATTAATTTACTCTGAATCCTGCTGTGCATCAAGGTACCCAGTAGGTACTTAATCCCATGGGACAAAATAATACAAAGGTGGATCCAACTAAAAGCTGGACCCCCTATGATTTTCTTGTATTAAACTTTCAAAGTAAAGTGAGCTGAAAATGTTAAGTACCCACAGAAAATAAAAAATAAATCATCAACAAATATCAATCAAATTCCATATCCACTGTATTTGAAAATCATCATGATATATGAATTTATCATCTGCAAGTCATTGCTCATGACCTTTAGAGAAGAGTACAATATAGGAACTTTCCTCACATGATCGGAAAAGCCTAGCACTGCATTTAACAGAAGATATCACCCAGAATCCAAGTATACACATCTACTCTCCTAATGACATCAACTGATGAATGAAATACCCTGACATTGTATAATGATCTCGAGGTACATACATGTATAAAAACATCAAAGAGCTCTTTAGATTTCAAAGAAAATCCAGAATAACTATAAATTTCGTGATTTATTGTCTAAATTTAGACACATAAATGTTTTCTCTGAATATCCAGAGAAAGGGAATTATATTGCACAATAACCCTGTTTGAAATCTGTCACAGTGAATACAATTAGAAATACAGTGTACATTCACCTTAATTAATGCTTTTGTGTATTAAGAGTAATCATTTGGAGTATTTTTCTATTAAATCTGATTGATAAAACTGAATGCAAATGTACTTTGTTTCTAACAGAAGCATGTGACCTCCTGAAATTCATTAACCATATGCATATGAAACACATTATTATTAAAGTATGAGTAATTGTCCTTCTTATACTGGAGCTTGAACTGAATTATCCTGATTTTGTTTTGGAGGCTTTTTCTGAGAGTTGGGACTCGAACCTGTCCAGCAATCTCTTGATTTCTTTTCTAGATTAAAGTTAAGGCAATGTATCATTAAATCAAACTTAAAAAAAATACAAGAGATATTTCCATTTAACAAGAAAAAAATGTGTTCATGTACACACATGTAGCTCTACTATACTAGTATTCATTAAAAAATATTCAGCTGACACATGTTCATGTATACACATAGTCTAATCATATTTCACAGCCATATATACATTAAACATGTACATGTTGTATAATTATCAGTCACATGTAATACATAGAAAGGATACATTTGGTTTGCTAGCTGGTACACCGGCTGCATGCTTTTGCTCAATTCTTCACATTTGGCCATTAGGGCATACATTGACTGAAAAAAATTATAATAGCAGACTCATAGTCAACAGGATTGAATGCTTAAAATTAAAAAAAATTCTGACTAAAAATAATTCTTCTAAAATTTTGAGAAGTGTTGATGTACCTTGATACTACTGTCCACAGAATCACAAGTGGCATCTACAGATTTCTTGTAGGCATCTAAACACCCGACAGTAATGGCTGACATCTGAAAGAGAGAACATCTCTGTAAAACACATGACAAAGCAGCTCATCTTTACTGTGGCAAGTTACTAGTTGACCTCTGATAAGTTTGAAATAACCTTTAAAAATATAAGCGATAACAAACACTAAATCTCATAGATGAAAATTATCCTTATATAAAAAGGCACAGATGTGAACAAAGCATCTTCACAAGCCTTAACTCTACAATGTTGTTGAGTTCACATTAACACCTTAGGCTTGCAAAGATGTGAATAGAAAGACTGATAAAATTTTTACCTGCTTAGCTTATCCTTGGAATTGATGCATATATTCAACTAAATACATGTACTGGTACGTTAAACTGACAGTATGTAATATTTTTATCTATTCTGGTTGCTTTCCTTATCTGATTTTCCTACCTTATGAAGATTTGACTTGAGGTTCCCCATAAGAAGGTCTACATTATCTGCCACCCGTTTGGCGGCCATCTCCAGTTCCATTACTGCCATGGGATCAATAGGTGGAATGTCTATGGGACTGTTTTGAAAATGAGTACTTGGCGACCTTGACATTTCAGAGGCCATGGATGTTCCCATGGCAGAGGAGTTTCCACTGGAAATACTGGCAATACTTCTTGAACTAGAAGTCCTACTGCTTAAACCACTGGATTCTGATAAGGAAGAAATGGAGAAAAATTTAGTTTAGATATCTTTGTAGTGGTAAACATTTATGATATGTTGATGTGTGTTTTCACTATTCTTTAAATACTAGTATTGTTTAGCATTAACCATGTAAACACATTTCTCAAAAGGAATATATACCAGTAATAATAAGGCTAAGTATAAGTACTAGCATATTTCTTCCATGTACTTAGAGAAAGAAATGCATGCAACAAGCTTTCAAGCTATGTAGGGTGAGAATATTTTGGACATATGCAAGTCCATGGGATTCTTAATAAAAATATATGTTACTGTACATGTACATGCATAAATTTTATATATAACAAGAAATGTTGAATATCTGAATTACCAGTCTTAGGTAAAGGACTACTTTGTCTGATTTTCTCCTGCAGGTCATCTGCCACAAATTCAAACAACTCCCCCTTCTTCATAACCACTCCATGTGGCATGCTCTTGGACAACATTGTTTCTTCAATATTTTCAAATTCCGAGTCTTTCTTGTCTGGAATATTAGCTAAATGGTTATAACACTCAATTGCCACCCCATCGCTGCGACTTCGTTTCTTTTCATACTGTTGCAGTGGCCTTGGAAGGTTCAAACTCTCTGGTCTAGGCAATGAGGAATTAGAGGCCTCATCTTCTGTACCCTCCTCTTGGCTTGGCCCTCCCAATGCCTCCTTTTCCAGTTCCTCTGCCTCTACAGGAGATATAGGATTTCCTGACTCCCAGCTTTCTGAGCTGGTGTTCTGCCAGGTTCTATATTTGACTTTAGTGACCACTGTCCCCTCACTGCTGTCCTCAGACTCACCTGACCCCCCTTCCTGAGGATCCTCTTCCCCATCCTTGTGAGGATTATCTTCAGAACTGAGTCTGTTCTCATGTACACCCACTTCCTTGTTTTGTAGATTGGATTCCTTGGATACACCTGAAGCCCTTATTTCTGCCGATTCATGCTGTGGTCTGTTCTGAGTACCATCCTCACTATGAGAGGTATGTTGTTGATCAGCCATTGTTGAATTTTCCATCCCTGTTGATTAACAGTGTTAGCTCCGGCCTAACATTTCTTGGGTATAAAAATTATAAGAATAACTCTTCCATTACATTTGACTGTGCTGAACTAATAATCCTATGTCTTATTCAACTTCCTTTGATGATGATACTTTAGCTGAATTCACATCTATAACAAATGACATCATGCTGTTTATCAGAATCATGTATATGTCTAAATTTTATGATGTATATTGTTAATGAATGCATTGTTGCGCAAGAAAAGATCATTAGATGGTTTAATAAATGCTGCCACTAACTCTGAGAGTTTCATTAGATCTCATGAAGGAGAGTTTAAATGTTTAATGTTTTCAAATTGCTTGTAAAATAACATTATACCAGGCAGTTTGCACTTAAGCAAAATAAGTCAAGATTGAAAGGTGATAAATTGTGGAATTATGAACTTGTTATCATTCAGGTTGTAATGCAATGGCGTGACCGTCTTTAATAAGATGGAAACTTAACTCCATGAAATTTACTGAAATGCGTGTATATCTGATTAACATCATATAATCAATATACTGAATTACATAATATACAGTAATATCATGTAAATATTATCAACGAGGAAATTCGAACGGCATAATGGCTCTACTAAATTTACACACCTCTGTAGCTTTGTTGACTCAGTAATATATCAATATTCTCAGACCGACTAATTTGGTTTGAACTCCGGTTGAAACTACTAAGCATTCGTTAACAGTTAAAAAATAAAGTGCAAAGCAAAGGTAAATAATCTTTTGTTAGGAAGTTGTTTGTAAACGTTATAATCCGAATTGGTCAGGAATCTAATAAATTCCGGAATTTGTCAAAATTTTTTCATAAATTTCTTTTAATTCACATTTTTAAACATAACCAGAAATCTCTGATGAGGCTGTAGCTCTACTGGTTTGTACTTAAAATGGTCCTTGGTTTAGTGTCTTTTTGTGGCAGGCAGACTAAAACTGAAGAATGGGAGGAGACTTTTGAAAAAGAAAATACAGAAATTTCTATTTAAGTAACCATGGCAACGCTGTTCACCAAAGAAAAAAAAAATAATAATAACGCGAGATCTTTGTGAAACACTTATGCCCCCCCCCCCCCCATTTCATTTCAGTGTGTGCAACCTCTGTTAAGAAAATAAACAGAAACTGCGAATAATTGGAATTTTTCTAAGTCCAGGGGGCATAACTCTGTCAAAAATTGCTAGATCATACCCAAAACAGAAATTGACCTAGATATTTTTATGATAAATCTGTAAACCAATTTTATTTCAGTATGTGCAGCTTCTGCAAAGAAAATGAACCAGAAACTTCTATGGCACGCCAAATTCACAAAAATGAGCTAATCATAGTTTCACAGTTGATAAACTAGGTTTATCGATTGTAAACTATAGTTTACAGACCGTAAACTATAGTTAACGATGATAATCTATATTTCACATATGTAAACTATAGTTTACACGATAATCTATGTTTCACAAGCGTAAACTATAATTAACACGGAAAACAATCATTTGCTACTGCAAAATATAGTTTATCTGATAAATATAGTTTCACGATTTGTAAACTATCATTTACAACTCTAAACTATACTTAACAAATGTAAATTATAGTTTAGGCTTTGTAAAAGTATACTCTACAGACATACAAAGCGCCAAATTCACAAAAATGCGATAAACATAGTTTTACACTTGAGAAACACAGTTTAGGAACAGAATCTCTTATTTTGTATCGGAGATGCACAATTTTCTGTGAAACTAGATTTCACGACTCTAAACCATAGTTTACGATCAAAACTATAGTTAACAATAGTTTTTTCTGTAAATTATAGATCGGCTAATCCTAGTTACAGCTTTATAAGATTTTGCTATGTAACGACAATTGTTGTTAAATATAATTATGCATGTATATTTCTTGTTGGCGTTATAAGTAAATGTTCTATTATTTTAAAGCAAATCTATTTGGAAATAAAAAGAAAAATGACTGGAAAATTATTGATAAAAATTTTATTTTTTTGATTTAAAAGAGAAAAATAGAGACCGAAATGCGTGATCTGTCATTAATAAAATACATGTATATTTTATATTCATCTGTAAATAAAGACAGAACACAGTACATGTAACATTGCAGGCTCGGAATTTATTTTTCAACAACCGAATTTTCTTCATACATAAATAAAAGTGGCCTTTCACGGAACAAACACAACAAATATTTGGGACTTCTCTCTCATTCTCTCTCTCTTAAATTCAAAGGAGGACGTTGAAACCCCCACAACCCTATCTATATTCGCCACTGCATTTTCTTTGTTTTGGTGATGAGATGTGGCCGGAAATGCCTGGCACATTGTAAAACGCGCTTCACCCTCCTCTGCTTGAGCAAAAATCTCATAATATTCTGTCTTTTAAAAAATTAAAATTTTATCATATTTCTAAAAATTTCCCCATAGGAAATGTATATATACACGACATTTTAAAACAAATACAATTAATCCTGTTTAAACAGAGAAAGTAATATTGATTATATATAACTCGGTCTTTGCTTTAGATAATGCTCAACACGTGTCGCACTGATAAAACCTATACCCCATTATTGCTTCTCGCGATTGGTGCCGCGAAATTTCGAATTGAAAACTATCGTTAACAGTTAACAGGTGTTTAGATTCATAAACTATATTTAACAACTCTTAACTATAGTTTACGAGTGTGAATTATAGTTTATTACGATAAAGTATGATTGGCAAATGTGAATCATAGTTTAGCTCTCAAAACTATAGTTTACGTTCGATAAGTATAGTTTACGTCAGTTATATATAGTTTGTGAGTATAAATGACAGTTAACTATAGTTTACAACCGAAATCTATGGTTAACGAATGTAAAACATAGTTTATCTGATAAATATGGTTTCACGATTTGTGAAACTATGATTAACAACTCTTAACTATAGTTCACGATTGTAAATTATAGTTTACAGATGTGAATCTATGTTTATCAACAAAATCTATTGTTAACGTTTAATTACAGACAGATAAACTCAGATTAGCATTCGTAAACTATAGTTAACAACCGTTAAATATAGTTTTACAGATGAAAACTATAGTTAACGAATCGTTAACTATAGTTCACGGTTTGTAAACTATAGTTTACAGTCGATAAACCTAGTTTATCAACTGTGAAACTAAGTTTCGCTAATTTTTGTGAAATTGGCGTGCCATAAACTTCAAAAAATTGGAATTTTTCTAAGTCCAAGGGGCATAACTCTGTCAAAAGTTGCCCGATTGTACCCAAAACAGAACTTGGCCTAGACATTTTTATGATAAATCTGAATACCAAATTTCAATTCAGTATGTGCAACTTAATTCTGCGAAGAAAATGAACAGAATTGCAAATAACTGGGATTTTTCTAAGTCCAAGGGGCATAACTCTGTCAAAAATTGATCGATCGTATGATAAATATGATAAATCTGAATACCAATTTTCAATTTAGTATGTGCAACCTCTGCAAAGAAAATGAACAGAAGCTGTTGTTTGGCTGACAGACAGACCGACCGACAGACAGCAGCTACATGTAAGCAATATGCCCTCCCTTCTTCGTAGGGGTGTATAAAAATAGAGTTTTTTGAAATTGCATATTTTTTATCTGAACTTCTTATGGAAAATGAAAAGATGAGAATAAAAGGAAACAGCATTGGTGTGCTACATGATTTTTTTATGTTGTTTACTCAGTCACATTGGAAGCATTTTTTTTTGGGGGGGGGGGGGGTAGGGGTAGGAGGACAACCAAACATTTTCAGTTTGGGTAGGCACTACCAAGCCAAAACTCCCTAACAGGTAGAAATAAAGATCATCAAAGATATTAATGGAAAACATCCGTAAAGTAGCTTTGTTTTCTATAGTATCCCAAGTCAAAGTGGAAGGCAGTTCTTTGGCAGTTTTTTAACCTTCACAGTTCAATGCTGAAGTAGTTTTTAGACAGTTTACTAGCCTTCTCCTCTGTTGTTGGCTGAAGGTTTTTGCATGCTAGTCATTAGACAGTTTTTATTAGCAGTCCACCGTTTAAGCAGTTGCTAAGCAGTTCATTAACAGTATCCTAGCAGTTGCTAAGCAGTTTCCTTGGCAGTATCTAAGCAGTCAATAGGAAGGTTTAGGTGAACTGCTTAAAAACTGCTAAGCAACTGCTATAGGCAGTTTCCTTTGCTATACATATATGGAAATGACTCCACCTACATATAAATATGAAAATATATGAACTGCTTAAAAACTGGTAAGAAACTGCTATAAGCAGTTTTCTTCTCTACTTATAAGGAGATAACTCCACCCATTTATGAATATGAAAATGCATAAAATTTATGCTTCCAGGGTGATTCATTCATAAAAATAACATTACAGATGGGAATTTAGCTTAGTATTAGATTTAATCATTGTGTAGATGAATAAACATCATTTTTTAAGGATTTCATTTTCCATTCAATTATCATACAGGTATAAATTGTAAATAAGTCCTTTCATCAAGTTAATTTTTTTTGCATTTCTTATAAACAAGTGCCAACTTTAGAGCTTGGTCAATACAGGGGGATAATCTGCAGATCCCTCAATCAGCAACTTTTATCTGCAAAGATTTTGAATTTATAATTATAGTAGTTGCTCGTGAAGTGCCAGTCAATAAAAAGATCATATACATTAATATTTCCCATCTCATGGACTTCAGATACATTTGTAACTAATTAATGTTCACATCCAAACCAATACAGTGATGACAGATATGTATTTCCCAAAGTATATTTCACTTCTTTACTGTATACATCTATATAATTTCATACCCCTCACAAACATTAATTTGTACTGAAATTTGAACTGGTCTGAGAAGCGCGCACAAATCTTGACTGGCTCACCTCATTGGATACAACCCTAAGTTTCAAGCAACCAGGGGGGACACAGCAGGTTGTTAACTAGAGGACTGCATTTGCAAGTTGATGGGATAAAGATTAGAAGCTCATGTGTGCATGCCTTTTTAATGTGTAGCCTCAATTTATTATAAACTACTGTATCATTTCTAGTAAGATTTTAAATATATCTTTGTTTCTTTCTAATTTTATTTTCTGTATAAGAAATTCCTGCCTGGCCCCCAATTATTTGTGATGCATTAACAGTAACACATGGGCAATTGTAATGAAGGCTAGTGAAAGCTAGGACCACCAAGAGTGACAAAGTATTGTATTTCCTCATGTGAGAAGCTGAAATGAATTAGTTGCACTTTTAGCAGTTTTGAGAAACTGCTTGTTTGACTGCTTAAGTTTGTTCAATACTGAACTGCTAACACAAATTCTTAGCAGTTTCTTAACCAGTCTGTTAGCAGTTTTAAGGAATGCTAAGACTAAGACTGTTAGAAACTGCTTAAAAACTGCCCAAATACCTCCAGACTGCCTAATAACTGTTTATAAACTGCTAAAATAAGCAGTTCACTTTGACTTGGGATACTACATGTACATGTATACCGGTATATCTTGGCAAAGTTATTGCCCCCCTCCCCTTACAGCCATGTGACTTAATTTAAAAAAGAACTAAAAGCATTTAATATAATAAAATTGACAAAAAAATGTGCATCTTCTGTTTTAAATATTTAATAGTGAAGTAATGCACTTCAATTTCATTAACATCTGGATGAAATATATGGAGATAATGAACAGTATTCAAGCTCAAAAGTCCATTAAACAATACAAAATAGGAGCAGAGCAAACACAGACCTCCAAACATCAGAGGTGGGATCAGGTGCCATGAAGGAGTGAGCATCCCCTGCCAACCGGTCACACCCGCCGTGTGCTCCTTGTCATGATCGGGAAATAACAGAAAAATCTGTCGACAATTCAGTGTGTAAATAATGGCCTAACAATTAGTATGAAAAACGTCAGTCAGCATTTGACTCAATGATAAATTGTATTTACTGAAAGGTCATTGTATCAACCATAGAACTTACAAAATGAAGACTTTAAACGAGACAGCTGATATTCTTATTTCAACAACTTGTTTGTCAATAATTTACCTCCTTTTAGAAATTGTACATACGTAGAGCATGCTCTTTCGTATCGAATCAACTGAGAGATATAAACCCCGTATGCAGGTGATGAAGGTATATTGCTGCATAAGTAAGGAAAGTTGACGATTGAAAAGTTAAAGTCATCACATTTATCATAAAGCTTGGTTGTTAGATTACCATTAACGTCTTTTTCATGTAAAATATCCAAATATGAAAAAGATGTGTCAGACTCGTGGTATCTTTTATCTCAAGCTCACTAGGATATATCGTATTGACATAAGAACAGAAATAGCCATTGTTAATTGACAATATGTCGTTGATATATCTAAATGTCGAGTTGAAGGCCACAGCAAGTGTTTTCTTCTTTCACATACAAGCTTTTGGACAAATTCTGCTTCATATGAATACAAAAAAAGGTCTGCTAATAATGGGGTGCAATTGGTACCCATGGGATTTCCAATAGATTGTTGGAAGACCTGGTCTCCAAAAACCACATAGATATTGTCAATCAGAAACTCAAGCATCTTTTTAATGTCAACTTCAGAGTACTTGTGTGTACAATCAGAATGTTTTTTAACAAAATAATTTTATGTTCATCTCTGTGCTTCATCATACATAATAACACTGCATGAGTACACTACTGAATATCTTTTTAACATGTTAGCTACCTGGGTAGTAACACCACATCACTGTTTTTCAACTGTCCATCTTCAACTTCAGCATGAAAAACACATACAGTACATCTTCAATGATTATTTTGCATATTTTTTTCCATTTATAATACTGCTATGTACATGTATATAGAACATGTGTGTATTAATGACATATGCATACAATAGTTGAACACAGTCAGGTGTAATCTCTCCTTCAAAATCAAATGTTGGATTTCATTGGAACACATATCTGCCTACTGTCACTTGCCAAATTTATAAGGCTTGAAGATATCTGTAAATGTAGATAAACAATAATTTATATTATCCTGCAAATAATGAATATGATACGCTATATATTACCATCCTATGAAACTTTTAAACTGCTTTTTTTTTTTACTTGGGAATTAAAGAAATCGTTATGACACTGTTTAACTTCTATCATTTTAAAACTTTTAGAAACTTTAACAATATATTTCATTTCATTTCATTTGAGATATGAAATAAGTACATGCCAGTACAATGTACATGTACCTGTAATACTCTGAAGGCACATCTTTTGTTGTCATAGCAACCAAATAATGTTAAAGCACTGTGCAGCTGTCCTCTGAATCTATCAAGTAGAAAATAAAAATTTTCATAATTATAATAATTTTGATCTTGGTCTTCTTTAAATTGAACATTAAAAGTTATCCAATGCATACAAAAGGTTTTTGAATTATTGAGTGTTCCACAGACTAAAACTAAAAAGAAACGGGACTTGCAGATATTTTGAATAGGTGGATCAAGAAATTTGTGAAAAGGGGGTGGGAGTTCAACCACATGAAAAAGGGGTTCAACCAATTGCTTAGGCATTTTTCACCCCCCTCACTATTCACACCCCTTAAGGCCCCTCTGCTAGTGTACATGTATAGCATCTGCAGATGGATCACAGTTTTGAGGTATGAAAAATAAAAACAAAAAAATTAATTCAGATTATCAAACATCAGTATACCTTTTAAATCTATTGAGATTGATATACATGTTCATGTATTATGCTTATTTAACAATCTTTTAAGCTCACCTGAGTAACTTTGGCCTTGCTGTTTTTCACTTGATTTCTCCCCCCCCCCCCCCCCTTGTTGTACTTATTGTGGCCCTGCCCTACGCCCAGGGGTCATGATTTAAACAATTAAAGTCTACACTACCCTAGAACACTTACACATAAGATTCAGCCTTTCTGGCCCAGTGGTTCTTAAGAAGAAGATTTTTAAAGATTTTTTCTGCATATTTCAATGTAAAACTTGGATTCCCTATTGTGGCCCCTCCCTACCTCCGGGGGTCATGATTTGAACAATTTAGAATCTACACTACCCCAGAATGCTTCCACGTTGGTTTCGGCTTTTCTGGCCCAGTGGTTCTTGAGAAGAAGAATTTTAACGATTTTTACTACATGTTTCAATGTAAAACTTGGATTCCCTATTGTGACTCCTCCCTACCCCCGGGGGTCATGATTTGAACAATTTAGAATCTACACTACCCTAGGATGCTTCCACATAAGTTTAGCTTTTCTGGCCCAGGTGTTCTTGAGAAGAAGATTTTAAAAATTTTTTACTATATATTTCAATGTAAAAACTGGGATTCCCTATTGTGGCCCCACCCTACCCCCGGGGTCATGATTTGAACGATTTAGAATCTACACTACCCTAGGATGCTTCCACATAAGTTTCAGCTTTTCTAGCCCAGTGGTTCTTGAGAGGATTTTTAAATATTTTTCCTATATATATTTCAATGTAAAACTTCGATTCCCTATTGTGGCCCCACTCTATCCCCGGGGGTCATGATTTGAACAATTTAGAACCTACACTACCCTAGGATGCTTCAACATAAGTTTCAGCTTTTCTGGCCCAGGGGTTCTTGAGAAGAAGATTTTTAAAGATTTTTACTACATATTTCAATGTAAAACTTGGATTCCCTATTGTGGCCCCATCCTACCCTCGGGGGTCATGATATGAACAATTTAGAATCTACACTAACCCTGGATGCTTCCACATAAGTTTCAGCTTTTCTGGCCCAGTGGTTCTTGAGAAGAAGAATTTTAACGATTTTTACTACATGTTTCATTTTAATAATTTACACTCCACTTCACCCAAGAATGCTGCGAACCAAGTTTGGTTAAAATTGGCCCCATGGTTCTTGAGAAGAAGTTGAAAATTGAAAAGTTTACAGACGGACGGACAGACAGTCGGATGGACGACGGACAACGGGTGATCAGAAAAGCTCACTTGAGCTTTCAGCTCAGGTGACCTTAAAACTTAGAATGGCCTAAAGAGACATGGAGACAGTTTTAAGACTTCCTTTCAGTAATATTTTTATGAATTCTTTTGTTGAACTTATGTGTGTTTTTGTCTCCAAAAAGGGGGGTGGGTTGCTCTAGATCCCCCCTCCCCCAATCCACCCTTGCTTTCCCTTCAATCTTTAAGTATATCTGTATATTTTGATTAAATCACACAATTAGAACAGCTCACCTCTCATTGGTCACTATAATGGCTTCTGAAAACAGAGGGTCATACTTGATGACATCCACACAACTCTCCCCAATCTGTTGACACAAAAATTCAAGCTTCAAACATTAAGCTTCAAACATAAGCAATTAAATTATAATTTATTTATATTTGGATGAACAAAGTGAGGTAGAATGTAATGCTGATTTTAAACAATAAAGTTTCACGCAAGATTTAAGTTTCTTGTTGTTCCTTGAAAAAGTATTTAAAACAAATAAAAAGAGATATGTATTAAAAGTAATATTTAATTTAATAGAAAAATAGTTGTGGCTTGCCTAATACGGTTAGAGATTGGCAACATACTTACAAGGTCCATGCAGAATTTGTGTTTCTTTCAACACATGAAGCAGATAAGAAAAAAAATTGTACAAACCTCTCCAAATAAGTTTTTAACAGCCTGGTGAACAATGAAGTTGAACATAGTCTGTCCAATGTCTATGTTTCCAACATGTTCAAATTCTCTACAAAACACAATTAAAAAAAAACAAGCTATTGAGGCATTCATTTATCCTAAATTTACATTTTCATGATAACATTAAATTTTACACTTTCAAAGTTGACAATTCACAAGAGGTCAATTAAAGCGAGTGCAGCAAGTTGAAATTTTTCCACGGTAAATTCGGCACCCATATAATGCTCCATAATGTTATCCATAATACCGGTGCAATATATTTTTAACTGTTAAAACACACAGGTACTTGGTTCTTGGTTTATAAATATGTATGTACCTTATTGGCATGTAAAAAAATACTTTTTACTTGTCAATAAGTATATGCATGATGCATATTTATAAACCAAGACCCAGGCCAAGTACCTGTGTTAAAACATGGCTGAATTTTACACATAAATTAAAATTTGGGGTTTTAATTGTATACTGGTGCGGTACTTTTAAAAAAATACTTACAATTTAACTCGAAAATAACACCTCTTTAAAGAGGAATACTTCATTTTATTGACGTTCATCATGAAACTTAACAAAAAATTATCACATCGTTACAGAAACTCAAACAGGAAACTATATCCCCTCAGTAAGCATTAAAACCGAATGATAGATTATTTTCCCCGGAATATTTTGCAACATGAACACATTACAGTCTTCACCGCGCTTTGCAGGCACGTAGTATCGTTTTCGAAAGTGGTGTGTCAAAGAAAAAATATTTTATTTTCAAAAAAGTCAAAGTACCCTTGGGATACGGAACAATTTACGGGGGGGGGGGGGGGGGGAGGATCCCGTCCCCATGTGAAATGGGTTTTTAATTTACTAAACTCAACTCATTAAAATATAATTGTCAAAAGATGTCACTTTGATCTTTTTATTATTTTTACATCACAGCTATTTCCTTCCTCTTTCAAAGATAATTAACTTAACAAGGTAAGCCACTTACTCTAAATTAATCAAGCCAGCTTATGTGTGATTAAAGCCTGGCATAGTACTCTGCATTAATATTCATATAATTATTTGAACTTTCCTTAAATGATTTTTTATATCAATAGAAATGAAATAAAAGCTGCCAACAAATAATTGGGATTATTATTTTTTTTTTTTTCAGGTGACAATCTCTCGTAATGTAACCTAGCTGTACAATTATTCCGGATTTTTCAGGTTTGTCCCGGGTGATCGGATTCGGTTTTAATGACCCGGTTTTTCTTAAAACGTGTAATTTTACGCAGCAATAACAATAACCAATGAAAAAATACTGATTTATAGTTAATATATAATCTTAGATATCAGAATGATTCATAACTTTACTGACTTTTCGTCAAATATGTTTGAAAACTTAAAATGCTGACTTTGGTAACTGCCTACCCATTTTACCAACTTGGAAATCAACAATCGCCAAGGAAATTTAAAATACTGAGTATTTCAAGGCAATTTTCATATCGAATACAAATAAACCTATAACAAACATAATCTGAAAATTTCAGCTGGATTGATAAAGTATAAGGGTAGAAAATTAAAAAATCTCGAATAGACCCGGTTTTTAATTTGCCCCGGCCCGGGTTTGCCTACCCATTTTACCAACACTCATGCAAGCACCTGTGTCTCAGTTCAACTTTTTCTAACTTGAACACTACACCACAGCTAGCAACGGATGGCTTTGAATGCCGATTCTAGCTGATTTATAATTAATAGATTGATATTTCATATTAGGATAAAAGAGAAAATATTTAGGTGACCTATTTCTCAGTGTATACTAAAGTCTTGTATATAGTATTGTGTATAGTAATATAGTATATTTTATTACTCATTTAATTATGCCATCATTATTATATCTATTATTTTTATTATCACTATTTCTCAAGTTAGAACATATTTGTTATGAATGTGCATTATTCTTGTAATTACATTTCTATCTAAATATGTTTATATGTAATCTCACGTGCTATTGATTATACCTAATAGTGTTGTTTTCTTTTTTTTTATTTGGACATGGAAAAGAAGGAAAAGTGAAGCACAGAAACTTTCCTACATCAAAATATTGCTTTCTTGTTTTGAAGGTTGAAAGGCAAGATATCAGTCTTTTATCAGAGGGAGTGTACGCTGGATTATGCAAATAGGTGGGATCGCAGTTCCAAGTGGAAACAAGAAGATCTGCAATGGACCTGGTGGAATTGATTTCAAAACATGATAATCCCTCTCAGTCTTTTCCTGATGTCACAATTATGCTTATGGGAAGCCGAAAAGAAGGATTCATATTCTTTGATGCCGATTTTGATGTGATGGTTTGTTTACAAAGCTGTCTTATACTACCAGAGGATGAACAAATATGTTCCCAAAAAGGACAACATAACCGAGGCTTACAAGTGTGTGAATAGTCGACCTGGATTTTATTTCCTTCAGATTCCTTCAACTGATATAACCATTTTGTGTTAGGGGCTATTGAAAACACATAAAATGTTACAGGGCACGGCTCAGTACAGTGTCTTGAAAGATATTTTACTATGACTCTATTATTTGCACGAGAACACATGAGTGTGCACAATGGAAATATTTTAAATTTTCTTTTTGAGTTCAGGTTGTCGTCAACTGATGGAAAATTTTAGGCTTGATCAAACTTCAGTTGGATTAAAATCGTCTATTCATGGACCCTGTATGAAGATTACACAGTTTGATTGCTTTGAACTTGATTTAACTATCTGTGGTAAATGTAATTTTTGGCCATCATCGGCATCTTCTTGGACATCGAGAGGCAAGACCTGGCCACCAGCAAGGGTTGGTCATGACATCATGACAAGTGGCTGCCATCTTGTTCCTATTGGAAGTAAACAGTCGCGCGATGCAGAAAAGGAATGGAGAATATCATTTAGTGAAATCCATGAATTTGACATACGGACTGATGAAATTGTTCTTAAAAGAGGTGATCAACAAAGATGACAGCAATCCTGTCCTTTGTTCTTATTTTGTGAAAACAATCATGTTTTGGGAAATTCAAGGAGAAAAATAAGTTTGGTCGGTGCAAACTTTGATGCATTGTTTTTGGTCGTGTTTCAAACGATTGATGCATTGGGTGAACAAAGAATATTGCCCCAATTTTTTCATACCAGAGATCAATATGTTTTTTTTTTTTTGAAAATTAACCTCAGTAGCAAGGAATTCATTGCTTGAGAGGCTCAACTCTTTGTATGAAGAAGGTTACAGTTGCATTTTCAATAGTGCCACTGTGAGATCCTTTTTGAATGACCACAGTTTATTTAATCCTATCCGTGAACTTATATCTAAAACTGAGGCTATTGAAGTTCAGGATATTCATTCTTTCTCAGAAATTGATCAATCTATCTTTGTAAGGCTTGGATTAATTAGATTGACAGAATTTAACTTGCATGAAACTCTACGTAACATTTGTCACGTAAAAATGAACTGGAATGCAGGGATATTGTCATTATTCTAAAATATCTTCCACAAGTTCTATTTTTCCTTATCTCCAAGAAATTTTTCAAATGTACAAAAGGTACAAAAGGTAACCGATTGTATTTAATGTTCAGTCGACTGCTTCAAGTTTTTCATCATGTAATGAGGTTTTCGGATATAACAGCCGTATTATACTACGCGCTTCTGATGTTTGAAAGAAATGACATCAGTACCACACTCTCCACCATTGCCAGAGTCAAATCTAATTAAGTTACCAAAGCCGTACGTCATTTATAACAATACTGTTAACATATCAAAATATCGAGAAACCTTTGCAGGAAAGTCTCTTTTTGTTAAGTTTATGAACGCTTCCGTAGCAGATGTTTATGTACCTCATAAAATTTTATTCGAGGGTGTATTCAGTGACCTACTTAATGACAAGGAAACAGAAAAATATGTGAACGAATTAGAGTACTTTAAAGTTCCTCCTCTTGTCATCTTGCACACATTTGATCTGTTCTGTTATAACCGTATAAATGATCCGAAACGGCACGACTCCTTACACAGTCTATATTTCTTGGTGCATTTTAATTGACGAGGGAGAACACCTACCCAGCGCCTGTTTGGATATATCGTGGTATTTGTTGGGTGTATGTCAGAGAATCTGTGGCGAAGTCCATGCTGCTACTAGATCTTTTCAAAAGGTTTCGAGTTTGGCAAATCCAAGAGGATTTCTTGCGTTTTCAATCAATCCTCAATTAAGATATTGCACAAGTACTTAACTTTTTTTCATTTCATCCTTTCAAAACAATTGCATGCCGAAAAAGATATATTTTTGTAATAATTATAATAAATAACTTATATTCTCGCCTTATAGTCTGTACAATTTATTTCTAGCAGACAGTTCAATGAGACTTGTCTTCATGTGTAATTTCATAATATCCAGTCATTTCAGTATTTTGATTTTTGGAAGTAAAAAGTTGACATTTTTGAGTAAGCATGCATGGCTTATATTAACCTTTCCAAAACTATTTTTAACAACTTGGAATTTCCTGATCTATTTTTAGACTAATGTAGAGAAAATAAATTCTTATATTCACCTGGAAGATCACGTGTAGGTGAATATAACATAGTATTTTTTTTTAACAATGTTGGATCTTAGCCAATCAGCAAGATAGAAGTTATTCAATCATATAATAATTCTGTATACTATCTGGAGAATAAAATTGATAGCAAATATTTTTTTTATGAATTGAAATCGAGATTCCTTTTTATTTCAGTAAAAGGATGACTGCACTTAACGCCTGTTTTTGGGTCTTTTTCGGTTGCTTGTGCTGCTTTTATGTCTAAACCTTATCTCACTTTTGTATGTTTATGAAAGAATACTGTCAATTTGGAAGTACATTTTAATCTTAAAATGATTTTAGACTGTGATACAATAAAATGATTCAATGTTTTTTTTTCCTTACTGCTTTCCAAATATAGTGAATTTATACTTACCTGCCCTTGATTGAACATTAGATATGCATGAGAGGTGGAGCTAACATTGTAAGAATGGCTCTAAAATTAGACTACATAAATAACAATGACATGTTTTGAAAAGCGAACGTGATCACTCTTTCCAATCTCCCTCTCCATTCTGTATAGCACAAATACACTTCTGACAAAGGTTTCAAAACGAAATTAACAATATGAGCACGTCAATGTAATTAAAGCAAATTTATATCAATGCCGGATGTCTTAACGCGTTCGAACACAATGTCCTAGTTAGCACATTACATGCTTCCTTACAAGTCACGTGACGGAATTTAGTATTCACAAAGTTACCTGAGGTAAGGAATCACGTGGTGAATTATAATATTCCACATGTCACAATCCTTGGTTACAACACAGAGAGCGAATGTTAGAAGAAGCAGTTTTTTCTCTTTTTAACCATGAGCGCATGTTTGTCTATTAATCTCCTTTTGACACATTATTATTTGTGCAAATATACAACTACTGTTAACCGTAGAAAAATAGACAAACATGCGCTGACTATGTATAAATTCAGTAAAAAAGTGGGCGTCCTCATTATCGAACGGAGATTCAAGAAATTATGATGACCCCTGCCTTTGAAAACAGATTCGAACTTCGTAA